GCTCCCTTCTCTTCACTCTGCTGACCCACGACGAGATCTACTACAGGGGTGAAGTTAACCATCTGCCAGAGTGGTACAGCAACAACAACCTGTCCCTGAATGTGGAGAAGACCAACAGTGACTCTACTTCCTCTGCAAACTGAGAAGCACAAGAGATTCAACCCCCATTATGAGCACCTTTTACAGAGGCACAGTTGAGAGTATCGTCACCAGCTGCATCACTGTGTGGTATGACTCCTGCATTGGGTTCTGCAGGAAAAAATGACAACGGGTAGTGAGAGCAGCCGAGAGCATTGTGGGGACCTCTCTTGCCTCCCTCCCCAGGAGATCTACTGCACCTGCCTCATCTGGAAGGTCGTCTCCATTACAGGTGACTCCACTCATCCCTTCAACAGCGTCTTCAGTTTGCTGCCATCAGGAAGGATACTGAAGAGCCTCCGAGCCAGAACCAGCAGACTGAGAGACAGCTTCGTCCATCGGGCTGTCAGGATGCTGACCATCTCTGGATCGAGAAGGGGGGCCCAAGGGTACATCTTTCGCCATCCTACAATGCTGTGATTGTAGCCATTCCCCACTTTCTGTGAATGGTACTCATGGCCATTGATCAATAGGCTTTGATTAGTTGTGTCAAAAGTAGATCAATGGTCATAAGAATTGCATACTAACAATCATGGAATTAACCCCCCGGCACATTGTTCATTCAGTGGCGCTAGTTTCCTTCACTATGCAAATGTACTGTTTATATGGTTGGGGAAACCTACAGTCAGCTGAGACTGAAGAAGTCACTTGGATGAGTGACGAAACGTTTCTCCAACTGAAAATGTCCAGATGAACAGAATCAACCTTTTGGGATTTACTTACCTGGATGATTAAGCACGCATCAAGACGTTATTTTATTAAACATTTTAAAATGTTAGCAGCACAAACAAACATTTTTGCAGCACAAACCAGCACAAACGTTTGACATCCATTTTGTTTGATTCCATTAATATGGGGGGCTGGTTGACCTCTAGAAATTTTTGTTAATATCTTTAAAATAATAACGGCACAAACAAAAATTTCTGCAGCACAAACCAGCACAAACGTAGCACAAACGTTTGATACCACTTTTGTTGGATTTGGGTAATGTGGGGGGGCTGGTTGACCTTTTGACCTTTACATTTTCATTAATAATATCTTTAAAACAGAAGCAGCACAAACGCTAATTTTACCTGCACAAATCTGCACAAACGTAGCACTAAAGAAGTAGACCATTTTGGTTTGTTTTGGAGCAGTCTGGGGGGATGGTGATGTCATCAGCAAAAAATATAACTTTTAATATCTCAGATACTGTAGCAGCACAAACGCTAATTTTACCTGCACAAACCAGCACAAACGTAGCACTAAAAAGTAGACCATTTTGGCCCGTTTTGGAGCAGTCTGGGGGATGGTGACCTTTGAATGACCTATAAAATAAAGTTTAATATCTCGGAAACCGTAGCAGCACAAACGCTAATTTTACCTGCACAAACGTAGCACTAACCGCTCCGCCTATTTGCCTTTACGTTTCAAGTGGGTGGGGGGTCAGCTTCACTCTGCTGTAGTGTAGGTCTGCCATCTTAAAAAGCCCTTTTAATTGTAGTAACCAGCGCCAGGTGTGATGATGAGCACAGGTGTGTGGGCTAGGGGTGGAGCCCACAGTGAGCACCGCTGTGGCCAGAGAAAGAGGGAGAGAGAGAGAGAGAGCACAAGAACAAAACACGTGTTGCCTAACACGGAATCAGCCGGTGAGGCACAGGGACCGTGACAGTACATCCTCATCTTGGACAGGGAGGAATGCTGGTTTGAGCGCGGAGTCAAGGAGGCCATTTACGTGAAAAAGGAAAGACCATCTCTGAATCGAGGAGGGGGCCTAAGGGTACATCTTTCGCCATCTTACAATGCTGTGTTTGCAGCCATTCCCCAACTCTCTGTGAATGGTACTCATGGCCATTGATCAGTGGACTTTGATCAGTGGGTTTTGGTCAGTGGTTGTTGATCAATGGTCATGAGAATTTGCATAATTAAGATTAAGGAACTGACCCCCAGCCCATTGTTCCTTCAGTGGGCTGGTTTCAGTCATTATGCAAATGTACTGTTTATAAGATTTGGGGAAACCTGCAGTCAGCTGAGACTGAAGAAGTCACTTGCATGAGTGACAAAACGTTTCTCCCACAAAAAACGCTACGTCTAGATAAACAGAATCAACTTTTTGGAGATTTACTTTCCTGGATGATTGAGAATGCATCAAGACATATTTGACAGTTCACTCAGACATTCAACACAACAAAGCCTGTTCAGTGGTTTCAATTATCTTACAAGTTTCTGGTAAAGAGTTCATTTCAGAAGATATTTCAATCAAACATATTAAAAATCACTTCTCACTCTGTCATTACTAAACAAACACATCTCCATTTACCAACAGAGTCAGGATCCTGGGTCACTCGACCCAGCACTTTGAATTCTTTGTCTTTATGATATCATAGAGAGTATGAGTAGAAAAGAAGCCTGAGGCTCTAGCTCACTGGTATTACTTCTATACATAATCACCTTTTTATTTAACATTGTTAAATATCATGGTCATATCTAATGCATCTCATCCATTGCTGAAACAATGTAGCTCTACATGACAGGAAATAAGGAAACGCATAATGAGTCTACTCTAAGGAGCTTGGAAAGAGAAGCGTCTGCACTTCTTTAAGTTTCTTGAAGACGTCTCACCTCTCATCTGAGAAGCTTCTTCAGTTCTGAGTCTACTTACAAATGACATTATGCATACTGAGTTTCAATGCTCTCTTTAAAGGCTTCACCTGTTCATTATTTCTCATTTATTTATAAGTTCTGTCTGCCTTTTATCATAATTACCATTTTATTCTGTTTATATATTTCCGTTTAACCTCTGCAGATCAGGCTAATTTCACTGAGTGCAGAATAGGTCTACAAAGCCGAGCAAAAGAGCAACATCACAATAACATGGCTCAAAATGTCAACACTAACAGGCCTCCTGACTTCCTGCAAAAAGACCTAATGAATGTGAAAAGGAAAACACATCTTTATTCTATAACAGTGAGACTAACACTGAGGCGTATCCAGATGAGCACTACAGAGGATGACAGTATCATTCAGTTCACCTGGAACGGATGGCTTGAGTGTCTTCTTAAGTCATCTGAGACTCAACGACACAGGCACATATCACTGCATCGCTATCCTTAAGAGAAAAAATAGGTCATAGGTCAAATCACGTGACCTCAAAGTTACAGATAAGATAACAATACTAGCTCCTTTGGGTTTGTTTATAGCACTTTCACTCAATCTGTTTGGTAAATAATAGGCCAGTTATGTACATATAGAAAGTAGGTGCACATTGCAGATTGCTGCTACTGTTATACATAAGTTGCTTTTAAAATACCTCAGAGCTGTATCACAGTGTACTTTTACATCAGCCTCCACTCCTCTACATTTACATTTATAAAACCAGCCTTTTTTTAAGTGAAGATGCCAACAAATCCATACTATCCTGACCAGCTTCTTCTAAAACAGGTTATTAGGCTAGGCTTCAGTGGTGGCTGTAATTCAGGAGGTAGAGCCAGTGTACTGACTGAAAGGTTGGTGGTTTGATCCCTGATTACACGAGTCTGCATGCCAAATATCCTTGTGCAAGATACTAACCCCAAGTTGCTCTCCAATGCTTCCATGTTAGGGGTTAGATAAAAGCATAGAAGAAAGTGTTTGGTTGAATGGGACATGTTGTTTAAAGCGCTTTGGGGTCGTAGCAAAGTGCTGTGTAACAATCAGTCCATTTACCATTAGCGCGAAACTGTTTTTGATTTTAGGTCCGGGAGGGCATCATGTGTAAAACTCAGCAAAGTCAAACATGTTGAACCACCCACTGTACTGACCTCTTCTGGCCACAGAGGAACGAGTAGCTTCTCTCTTTTTTTCTAAACTGACAGCTGTTTTCTAGTTTTTCATTTCCATGAATATGTGAGGGTTTGCTTTATTTAGATAAATTAAAAGTTTATTGTTGGTAAATCAAGGCCATCATGTGAAAATGTCCTCCATAATTTTACTTTTTGGTTAAAGGTTAGAAAATGTACTCTAAAGGTTTTAAGTATAATAACAAGCATCTGTAAAAAATTAAATAAGGAATAGTTTGATTTTCTTCATTTCTTTTTTTAAATATTAGTTTGCATGCATGCATGTTCACAGAAAAAATACACAAATAGAAACTCTGTCACAGATTTTATTCTTGTGATAACAAATGTATGAATAAAATACAAATTGACACATGAAGTGTGCATTTATACAACACGTAACATATCAATGCTATGTGACAAATCATCGGTATGTTGTGTGTTGGGAATGAGAATGCTCTGAGATTTCACTGCCTATTATTAAAAAAAAAAAAAAAACAAAAAACACCTGGTTGCTCTAGCATCACCATACTGGAGGATCCAGAGATGCATTTCGTTCATCATCCCAAAGATAAACTTAACCTTTAACAGGTCAAGTAGTTTCAGTAGATAAAAGTTAAAAAAAAAAACTAAACAAAATACAACGTCATCATTTATCTAGAAGCCTTTTTGGTAAACAAATGAAGCTCAAAAGAGTAGAATAGCTCTTTATTGTTGTAGCACCCTCAAGGATTGACGTACGCACGATGTAGTTATAAAACAGGGTTTATTCTGGTCTTGGCAACCCGTGAGAACTGCTCACGGACAAAACAATAAAACAAAAACATCACATCAAAATGCACTCTTGTACGTAGTGTCAATCAATCAAAAATCCTTAATTACAGAAAATAAACCATTTAAAATACACAAACCTCGTGAGCTGACATCCAGGAGGTGCTAAATAGTCCTTTATGGCCTTATTGCCTTATCTTCCATCTTCTTTGTCAATTATTTCCACTCTTCAAACGATATTTTCTCCATGTGTGGAGCTAACTGTGAACTGCAGCATGCAGACACCATGTGCGCTAGCAAAAAAGTGGCTGGGTGGAGACCCAAACAGCAAAGCTGTACCCTACACAGTTCACCACCAGAGGGCGCAAAGTAACAAAATCCAGACATACAGCTTAACAAATATCAAATGCAACAAACATCAAATGCAACAAACATCAAATGCAAAAGACCGTTACAATTGTCATTGTACATGTATTACTAAATTGGGGTGCTCCACACTAATGTGAGAATGTGTCTTGTCGCAGTAAGTTCACTCTGAGCCGTCACAGAGAGAGACAGTGGAACCAGGTGACTTTAGTTGAAACCCAGCATATAGTGCTTCAGTGAATTTGGTGTTGAAAGTGTGCAGGTGGATCAGTCTGTCAGGGAGGACACTGTAAAAGGACACAGTGCCTGCAGGGTAGTCCACATACACTGCTAATTTGTTAGAGACAATCGAGGATGGGACAGCGATCACTATTGATGTGTAATTGTAATTTCCAAAGTAACCATCATCATTACTGCAGTAGAGACTGCAGGACTGATCAGTCCTTCTGAACCTGCTGTCATCGCCGTCTCCTTTCCGTCCAATTCCTACACAAGCGACACTGATATGAACTTCTCCTCTCCACTCGACCTCCCAGTAACAGCGACCAGTCAGACTGTTGGTACAGAGCAGCTGAGGCCAGTGATCAAACCTATGATCATGATCAGGATACAGCTGGTCTTCTTTTACCTGTGTCACCTTCTTGTTGTTGTCAGACAGTTTGAGCTTCCTGTGTGCTGTGTTTGGATCCAGCGTCAGGTCACAGAAATCTAAAGGGGACAGTAAGACACAGTGCAAATGGTCTCTCAAAAACACATTTAACTTAATTTGCATGGTTTTCATATTAATTTATGAAGAAGATCCGGTATGCAAAAGTTTTTGATTTTTTTAAGAGTGTGTTACCATCAGAAATTGGTTTTTAGTTAGTAAGTAAGTAAGTAAGAAGCTATGTAACTTTTTTTGTAAAATTCATGATAAAATGTATTTGGCAGAGGTACAACTAAAGTGTAAAAAAATGTGAACACAGTACAACATGGTGTAAATAGAACTGATACATCAAAAATACTCACATTTTCTTAGACCTGGTCTCATCCACTGGACTCCTTGAGGCTCCACACTGAAATGAGAACTTTATCTTTTAGTGTGAAAACATGCCTTTATATTGTCTGATTAATCTTTTCTAGAGAAATAATCTTGTTTCCTTTTATTCCATAATAAAATGAAAACGATAATGCACTTCCAGTTCTATGGTTTTATATATCAAAGTAACTTTTTTAAAAAAGAAACCAACTGGTCTGTACAAGGTTCTTAAATTACCTAAATACAACCTGAGAAAATTGAAAGTATTTAGACATGTAAATAAAAAGCCAAAATCCTGTATAAATGACGCTGTGTAAAACAGTTCACACTTGTAGCATCCGCTTAGCCATGAGTAGGAATCGAATAACTTAAGAGGAACTTTGAAGAAGAATTCTTAATTTTCTCACATGACTATATCTGCTCTGCATAAATAACAACTACTTGCTTCACTTTTTTTTTTCTGTACACTAGGAAAGTCAAAATCCTATTCCAAAGATTACGGTGGTTCTGCATTTGTTGGTGTGATGGTACACGTAAGCTCCAGACTGAGAAGTCTTGATGCATTCTCAATCATCCAGGTAAGTAAATCCCAAAAGGTTGATTCTGTTCATCTGGACGTAACGTTTTCAGTGGGAAACTCCACACAGCCTATTGTTCAGATGTGCTAGTTTCAGTCATTATGCATTGAACTGTATATAAGGTTCAGATTAAAGAAGTCACTTGGATGAGTGACAAAACGTTTGTCCCACTGAAAACGCTACGTCCAGGTGAACATAATAAACCTTTTGGGGCTCCAGACTGAGACGAAGTCTGAGAAGACAATCTGATCCAAAACATTGGCATGTATGGCAATACATCTGGTAATAAAGGGAAATGAAACAAAAGGGTTACATAATATCAAAAAATCAATTCTGTTTATCTGGACTTTGCGTTTTCAGTGGGAGAAACGTTTTGTCACCCATCCATGTGACTTCTTCAGGCTCAGCTGACTGCAGGTTTGACCAACCTTATAAACAGTACATTTGCAAAATAACGGAAAACAGCCCACTTGTTCTAGTGGAAAAACATGGTGAACACAGGAGGAACGAATTAGGTGTCATCTGACAGGAGGAAGCAGGACTGCACACACTGAACACAGAACTTGAGATTGTCAAAATAAAACAGGAAACACACTGAGACACAGAATAAGAGACATAGGCTTGACAAAGGGCCGGGGGAGAAAACAGACAGGGATGGACATGACAGATTGGTTAGAAAGGTTGGAACACAAGGAGAGAAACATGGGAGGTCTGGAGGAAGAGGGAGTGAGTGAGAGACAGAGAGGGGGAGAGGGAGGGACACAGAGACATAATGGCTGAGGAAAAGACACATGGATGGACATGACCGACAGAGGAGGCATGGAAAGAAACACATGGAGGGGAAAACAGGAAAAGAAAAGCGAGATGAAACACAAAGACATGACTGGGGAACATATGAATAAACTCAAAGACATTAGGAAAACTAAAACCCAAACCTATGACGAAGGCACTTGTCAGAACTTGTCAGGGTTAAACACATCAAAACCTCACTTGGCTATTGTGGCACCTACAAGTGTATGGTCACAGTTGTAATCTGCTGGAAACATTTACTGATGTAAAAGCCTTTGTTTCATTGCGATATTGCACTTTTTGCGCTGACCAGCTAGCACCGGTGTTCACGGAGATCTTCAACCTGTCCCTGGCCCAAGCAGTGGTTCCCACGTGCTTCAAACAGTCCATTATTGTTCCTGTTCCAAAGAAACAACAGCCCACTTGCCACAATGACTACCGTCCAGTAGCACTGACTTTAATTGTGATGAAGTGTTTTGAAAGACTGGTGAGAGATCACATCATTTCTTCATTTCCTGCCACCATTGACTCACTTCAGTTTGCTTACCGGACTAATCGTTCCGCAGACGATGTCATATCTCACCTGCTTCACACATCCCTGAGTCACCTGGACACTTGCAGAGGGAATTATGTTAGGATGCTGTTCGTGGACTACAGTTCAGCATTCAACACAATAATTCCCTCTAAGCTTTTCACCAAGTTGACGGATCTAGTACTCAGCTCATCACTGTGTCTGTGGATCCTCAACTTCCTCACAGACAGACCCCAATCAGTGAGGGTGGGAAAACAAGTTTCCCCCTCCATCTCACTCAGCAATGGAGTACCTCAGGGTTGTGTTTTAAGCCCCCTGCTGTACTCACTGTACACTTATGACTGTGTAGCCACATCAGACACCACCTCCATTGTCAAGTTTGCTGACGACACTGTTGTTGTAGGCCTGATCTCCGACAACATCGAGATGGCCTACCTGGAGGAGATTAGGAACCTGGAGAACAGATGCCAGGAGAATCAGAATCAGATTCTCCCGGTTCCTAATCTCTTCCAGGTAGGCCATCTCGATGTTGTCCTCCTCCTCCTAAAAGGTGCTCAAGAACTTTTACTCCTGCACCATTGAGAGCGTCCTGACGGCAAACATCTGCACCTGGTTTGGGAACAGCACCAAGCAGGACAGACGAGATCTGCAAAGAGTGGTGCGCTCAGCCGAACGCATCATTCAATCAGAGCTCCCTGACCTGCTGTCCATCTACACCAAGCAGTGCAAGTCCAAAGCTAGGAAGATTATGATGGATCTCTCCCATCCCAACAATGGACTCTTCTCACTGTTGAGGTCTGGGAAGCGCTTCCGCTCCCTTAAGGCCAAAACAGAGAGAATGAGGAGGAGCTACTTCCCCCAGGCTATTCGGGCCCTGAACCAGGTGTAGGACTGGACTCTCCCACACACGTCACTATAAGACTGGACTCTCACACACATCACATCATCACCACACGCACCACCACACATTTCCTATAATTTGTAATCTTTATAATCTCTTCTGCTATTTGCACATTTTTTACTGTAAATTTCTAAGTTAATTTGTAAATTTTGTAGTAAACTGTAAATTGTAAATACTGTAAAACCTTTTTCTGTCATTTAATGTCATTGTACAGCTACAACCATTTCACCCCCATGTCATACTGTGTATGGTTGTGTGTGTTTGACAAATAAATTTGAATTTGAATTTTCAGTTGAGGTTATGAAGATTGCGTGGCATCGCCACAAAAGGTGAGTAGCTGTAAGTGTGTGTAAGTCTGCCATTGCAACGGTCTTACCTCAGTTGCGGAAGAGCCTGCAGACTGAACACAACTCATCAGAATCAGAATCAGAAAGGGTTTTATTGCCAAATGTTGAGCAGGTTTACAACATTAGGAAATTGCTGCGGTGCTTAGTGCAAACATACTGTCATAAATTACGCTTAAATAGACATGAAAATAAAAATAAGAATAAGAATTAAAAGTGCTAAGTAGATAGGTATATACATGAGTGCAGGTGGTGATCAGTGCCAAACATGGAATGATGCATTGAACACAGCGTAGGGTCATGTGTTAGGGGTGGGAACAGTCATACGGTTATTGTTCATGTGTCCGACAGCAGAGGGGAAGAAACTGTTCTTATGGCGAGAGGTTCTGGTGCGAATGGACCGGAGCCTCCTGCCTATGTCCTCATGTCTCCTGTCTCTACTTTTCTGTGTGAAAACTGGTTAGTAGTTTGAGTTAACTAACTGTGATGCACATATAAGAGTAAGAAAATTTTTCTGTCTTGATTTAAAGGCCACAACTGTTGTAAGAACGTGTGTTTTCATAGATCAAGAGAAAGCAAACTTTCCCGCCAGTTGTAATGGGAGCCACAATTCCACTTGTAGTGTAAAGACGTGGTGGGTCTTACTACATCTGTTTTATTTCGTAGCACATGTAGCTCTGAGACATACTTTTAACCTGATGTTACTAGAAGTTTTACAGTTGATGATTTCAAAATAACCTCATTCTTACTCATTATATTGCTAAATGTAAATAGACTGGTTTATATTTACTTTTGGACAACTATAGAATATGTTTGTTTATTGTTTGCAAACATATTGTTTAATTTTTAAGGTATAAAGGGTTTATAACAGTTATAATAAGCTGGTTATTCGCAGTGCTAATATTACTGCACAGAGATATTGTTGAAGCTGGACAGAAGCAGGATTTAGTTACAGATTTATTGTAAATAAGAAGACTGATATAAGAATTATTTTGTAGATCTATACTTGTGAAAAAAACAATGCGACCATGTCACAGTTCTGGGTCGGTTCGACCCAGTAGTTTGAGTTCTGATGTTTGGTTTATTTTTGAATGATTGTTGTGGTTTCGGGTGCTATGATTATTATTATTATTAGAATTCTTTGTGTCTGTTTGTTCTTGTTTAAGGATTTGTTCTTCGGTCGTGTCTGCTTAGTATAGGTCTAGTTCCATGTGTCATTTTCTGTCTGTCTCTCAGTGTCGAGTCTGCGTCTTTGTGTGATGGTTTCTTGTTCCTGTTTTATTGTGAAGGTCTGCGTCTCATGTGAGTGTGTTCAGTTTTACCTCTTGTCTCGTCACGTTAATCACTCCCAGCTGTGTCCCTCACCTGTGTGTAATCTCCCTGTTTTTCTCTGTGTGTATTTAAGTCGTGTCTTCTGTCTTGCTGGTCCGTCTGTGTATCCGCCATGTTCCTTTCGTGTGTCTCCCTGCTGTCACCGTCATATACCATCTTCCGTCTTCCTTCATGTTCAGGTTCAGGTTCGTGTTCGTGTTCAGGCTCAGTAGTTTAGTTGTCCCAATATAGTTTAGTTCTCCGTTTGCCGTTTGTCCATTCTTTTTTTTGTGTTCAATAAATAAACCACCTTCACACTTTCACTACTGCCCGCGACTGGATTCTCCTTTATTATTTCCACACGGCTTTTCTCACTTGCCGTGACAGACCAAGTGGGTTTAACATGTGAACCTGATTGAATATGATGGTTTTTTTGTCACAAGAGGAATGACTGAAGGAAAGAGGAACGTGTGTACAAATGAACAGAAAACAATGGTATAAAATTCTGTGTAATAGAGAGACAAGGAAGAGCCTGCACAACTTATGTCTCCAGTCTCTACTTTTCTGTATAAAATAGACCCCATAGAAGGCCCATAACACGATGGTCATGTGATGTTGGTGTTGTGAGCCACACTTTAAAGCAGTGTAGTAAAACAACTGAACTTCATAAGATCGACACAGTTTCAAACATCAGTATCAAGGGTCCCATCCCAAGCTATTTGTTACATTCTCCCTCAAGCTGTGTATTCCTCCTTGTGTATTTCTGCATTTCCTGAGCAACTTTAATTTGTATTTTGTTAAGCTCAGCAATAAAGCTTCCTTTTAATCACCTTGTTTCTCATGTCCTGCATTTTGGGTCTAACTAATCTTGCCACACAGCCGACCTTTACACACAATGAGAGAGGCAATGCTCGTGGGCAATGATGATGAATCCTGATGGGATGTGATTGGGGTAAATACCTCAATCTTTTATTGAAATGCACAATCTCAATTGTCAACCTTAATGAGGTTGCAAGGTCATGCAGTCATAAGGTTGTGGGTGCCTATTTCATTTGATTTTAAACACTGTTTGAGGCCTAACTCATCATGATCCCAGCCTTATTTGTTTTTAGTCAATTATTTTCTCAAAACTTGGCAGTCTGTAAACAAAGAAAATAATCGATCTGATACAGAGCAAAAACTAATTTGAAAAAAGTCAGTTGTGCCTCTCTCTTGAATTAAAGGTTAAGGTAAACTTAGAGTTAAGGTTATCACTTAATTTACTTTTTTATAGATATATTGTAGATAGACAGGAAAGTGGTGAGAGAAAGATGAAAAGACACGCAGCAAAAGGCTGCTTGAACCCAGGCCTACTGCTCTCCGGCCATACGGCATATGGTCGCCTGTTCACCCACTGAGCCAAAGCAGATCAGCAAGATGACCCCTTATTGTGAATGATATCACAGTATGCAACTGCTTGGCAAAGACTGTGACAGCTGGGTTATGTTTGAGCACCACCTTTGACATGCAAGACAAGAAAATGTTAGAGATGATTGATTTTGTGATTGTGACTCAGAGGTGAGCTTTTAACTGTGATTGGTTCTGAGTCATTCACCCACACAGTTGCCCATTTGACTGGACATACACACTATATCACGGGCTATCAGGTCAGTGGTTACAATAAACCCTTAAATGACTTCAAGTAAATATCTGCTCTTCCTTACAAAATGTTGGAGAAAAAATATATTTTCAGCTTTATTTCCTGTTTTCCTACCAGAGTATTTCCAGTTTCACATGTGGATCCTCCTGTTGGGCAGACAAAAGCTTCATTCCTGAGTCTCCTGGATGATTATAGCTCAAGTCCAGCTCTTTCAAATAGGAGGGATTGTAGCACAGAGCTGTGGCCATAGCGGTGAAGCCTGTTCCTGTGATCTGACAGCCTGACAACCTTAAAACACATTCAACATGTCACATCATTGTAATGAACTGCTCTGAATTTGATGATGTAAATGCAGTCGAATTAACAGATTCTGATTTCAGTTATAGTTGTTACAAAAACAAACAAACTGGCTTTTGTGAACTCACTTTTAAAAAAGAAAAAAAAGCATTGACTTTCTGTCTGTTTTGCTATGATGGACAATCATAACAAAAGTTATATTTTTCTGATTTATGAAGTGTGTTTCACTTCTACTCTACTGTTCTCTTTCAGAGCGTACACCACAATAGAAACAACATATTAAATCTATAAAATAATGACAGTTGTGAAATATCCAAATCTCCTGAAACAAAGAATCAGCTAACCTGAGAGTTTCCAGCATACAGTGTGGACTCCCAAGTCCAACACAAAGCAGCTTCACTCCTGAATCCTGTAGGTTGTTGTTACTCATGTCCAGCTCTCTCAGGCTGGAGGACTGAGAACTTAAAATTGAGGAAAGAGCTTCACAGCTTCTCTCTGTGAGGTTACAGCCGCTCAACCTAGAAACATATCAGTATATCAGTGAACTTTGCAACCATTTCAAATAAACACTTTAAAGCAATGTCTTGCCAGGATTAAACTGGATACTTACTGGGCTTTCTTACAGGCTTTGACCACTGGCAGCAGCTGCAGAAGAGCCTCTTCTGAAGCTGAATATTTCCTCAAGTCAAACTCATCCACACCTGTTTCTGATGACAGTGAGATAATGACCAGAGCTGACCACTGAGCAGGAGAGAGATTAACTTTAGACAGTTGTCCTAAACTCAGTTGATGCTGGACCTCCTTCACTACAGAGTCATCATTCAATTCATTCAGACAGTGGAACAGATTGATGCTTTTCTCTGTAGAGAGAGTGTCATTCATCTTTTTTTTAACATACTGAGCTGTTTCCTGATTTATCTGTGAGCTGTTTCCTGTTTGTGTGTGCAGGCCTTGTAAGAGATTCTGATTGGTCTTCAGTGAAAGACCAAGGAGGAACCGGAGAAACAAGTCCAGATGTCCATTTGGACTTCGTAAGGCCTTGTCCACAGCACTCTGGTAGAAATATCTTTCTGAAGATTTGTCAGTCTGCACTGAGGCTGTTTCTTCTTCTTTCAGTAGGTTGATACCAGAGTTGGTGAATGTCAGATGGACATGAAGAGCTGCCAGAAACTCCTGAATGCTCAAATGGACGAAACAGAACACCTTCTCTTGGTACAGCCCTCTCTCTTCTTTAAAGATCTGTGTGAACACTCCTGAGTACACTGAGGCTTCTCTGACATTAATGTCACACTCTGTCAGGTCTGATTCATATAAGATCAGGTTTCCTTTCTGCAGCTGCTGAAACGCCAGTTTCCCCAGTGCTTCAACCATCTTCCTGCTCTCTGGACTCCAGAGAGGATCTGTCTCAGCTCCTCCATCATACTTGATGTTCTTCACTTTGGTCTGAACCACCAGGAAGTGAATGCACATCTCAGTCAGTGTCTTGGGCAGCTTTCCTCCAGCCTGTTTGGTTTTTACCACGCTCTCTAGAACTGTAGCAGTGATCCAGCAGAAGATTGGGATGTGACACATGATGTGGAGGCTTCGTGATGTCTTGATGTGAGAGATTATGGTGTTGGCCTCTTCCTTGTCTCTGAGTCTCTTCCTGAAGTACTCTTCCTTCTTTGGGTCAGTGAACCCTCTGATCTCTGTAACCACATCTATATAGTCAGCAGGGATCTGATTGGCTGCTGCAGGTCGTGTGGTTATCCAGATGTGAGCAGAAGGAAGCAACTTTCCCCTGATGAGGTTTGTCAGCAGCACATCCACTGATGTGGACTCTGTAACATCAGTGAGGATCTCAGTGATGTGGAAGTTCAGAGGAAGTCGACATTCATCCAGACTATCAAAGATGAAGACAACTTTGAACTTTTTAAAGTTACAGATTCCTGCTTCTTTGATTTCAGTGAAGAAGTGATGAATAAGTCCCACTAAGCTGAACTTTTTATCCCTCACTAAATTCAGCTCTCTGAATGGGAATGGAAACATGAACTGGATGTCCTGGTTGGTTTTGTCTTCAGTCCAGTCCAAAGTGAACTTTTGTGTCAGGAATGTTTTCCCGATGCCAGCCACTCCTTTGGTCAGAACTGTTCTGATTGGTTTGTCTCTTTCAGTCAAAGCTTTAAAGATGTCTTCACACCTGATTGTTGTTTCTGGTCTGTTTGGTTTCCAGGAAAACATTTCAATCTGTCTGACCTCATGTTCAGTGTTGACCTCTCCGGTCCCTCCCTCTGTGATGCAGAGCTCTGTGTAGATCTCATTTAGAGTGGTTTGGGTTCCTGGTTTAGCAATCCCCTCAAAGACACACTGAAACTTCTTCTTTAGGTTACATTTAAAATTATTCTCACAAAGTGGATCAGGACTTTCTACAGGAAAGCACCAGAAACACGAGTGTTATGATTATAGAAAATGTGACAATTTCATTCCTGTAAAGACTGAATTTATGAAGAGAAATCCTCTCACTGCTCTGCAGACAGTCAGCCAGCTCCTCCTGTTTCATTATTCTCAGGAAGTTAACTGCAAGTTTCAGAAATGCCTCTCTGCTGCTCCTTCTCTGCTTCTCTTCCTCACTGTCCAACACCTCCTCTTCATCCCTCTGCCACTCTGAATAATCTGGATTCAGATCATTCTGCATCTTCTTTAGCTCGTTCTTCACAAACATGATAATGCTGTCCTCTAGCATCTGGAAAATAATGACACAATCTGAATTCATAAAAAAATCAGATCTTCATAGTAAAAAATACTTTTTTACAGATTTGTTTTTTGTGTGTTTTCAATTTAACAGAAATACAGCGTTAAAAGATATGCAGGTAACTAATTAAATTAAAACTTCTGTCAGAGAAAAAAATATATAATTCCAAAATGTCATTGTTATAAGATAAGGATGATTTTTTGGATAAGTGTGTCACTTTGGTTCTTATTGATGTAAGGACATTTTCAGAAATTTACATTTCTGACAGAAATGTGATAAATAAGTACACCGTAAGTACTTTCTGGCGTGCCGGTAGTGTTATAGAGTGACTTAGGTGATAGAAAATAATAAAATAATAACATAAATTAAATTAAGTAATCATTAGTACTGATTTTTTTAACCTCTTAAACCCCAAAGGGGTTTCTGAGATTCCTGGTTGAAAATGCAATGCCCAAATTTAAATAATTATTTCTCTGCAATTACAAACTCTGTCCTTAGAATCTTGGTATCAAAATAAAGCTAACACTTGTGAAATTTCATCAGAGGTGTAAATATTGAAGCAGATATTACTGTGTCAAAGTTACTGAGACTGGAACACAGAGAAAGTAAGTTGATTTTATCCTCCTCTAATTTTTAAAAAAGAATTTTAGCATATAGCCCTTTTAAAATATGCCTCAGTTCACATTTCATCACAGAAATTCAGTAACCAAAAATAAACATCATCTGTGCAAAGATTTGTGTTTGTAAAGTGAAACAGTGAAAAATTACAGCACTGTCAATACATGAATATCCAGACGTTGTACAAAAATGTCTAATTTTGGCACACAATTGGACACCATGCCAGTTGAATTTTTTTAGGTATTTAAGAGCAGAAATGAATTAATTTTATTAACAGGCCTGAAAATGCTTTTTTTTTTATATTTTTGAAGAAGAATTAACATTTACATGGTAATGGCCCTTTTCTGCTGTGCGCATAGAGCGTTTAATTGGCCTCTGGTCCTTTAAACTCTGAGGGGCTGTGAATTTGGTCTCTTTTGGTCAATTTGCATGATTGACACCTCTTTTTAATCGTTTAAGCCAATAGCAATGATGCCACGTTCACGTCACTTCAACCAATCAGACGTTGCAAGGCCAAAACCCACATTGGCCCAAATTTACTGCATGTGACGTCTGTCCAGTAACGTTTCTGTAGGTGGGTCTAAAATGTAGGTTTTTGACAGAAAGCGGCTCTGATGCAGCTAGGTAGGCGTGGTAACCGCTGGTAATCACGTGGCTGTGCAGTGTACTTGCATCTTAATTCGCGGATCATGTTATGTTACCAAACCTTTGTTTTGAAAAGTGCTTTATAAATAATAATAAAGTGAAACTAATTCACTGTTGGAGTATGTTTGTTATTTTGCCATTAAGTTATGATGAATACTGGACTGAGCAGCATGAAAACAATTTAAAAAAACAGGTAGGTGTACAAACATGTACAAACCTTAAACACCGAGTCCAGATTGGTTTGATGCTGCTGGGCATGATGAAGACTCTCCTGATCAGCTCTGTGGAGACATCATGAAGAAATTAGAACCATTTTGCACATAAATACAAGCCAAGGATTTCTTCTTCTGCTGTTTGATGATCATCCTGATTAAAACAAGCACAACTGTGCTGTAACAAATCTATTGTGTCAGTTTATACGCTTATTTATTTATTCATTTATTGGACTCCACTAGTCCAACTAACAGGTCAGTGATGGTTCTGTACCAAAGTGTGTTCTTGTACTGACCATATTATAGACATGCTCTGTACATTGCAAAAAGAAAAAAAAAAAGTCAGATTCATATTTTTATAATAATAATGGATTGAATTTATATAGTGCTTTTCAAGGCACCCAAAGCGCTTTACAATACCACTATTCATTCACTCTCACATTCATACACTGGTGGAGGCAAGCTACGGTTGTAGCCACAGCTGCCCTGGGGCAGACTGACAGAAGCAAGGCTGCCATATCGCGCCATCGGCCCCTCTGGCCAACACCAGTAGGCAAGTAGGGTAAAGTGTCTTGCCCAGGGACACAACAACCAGGACAGAGAGCCCAGGGATCGAACCGGCAACCTTCCGGTTACAGATGCGATTCCCAACCCCCTGAGCCACGGTCGCCCAAGACTTTTATTAAAAAATTTGGCCTTTGTGTGTTTACAATACCAGCAGCAAGTAAGAGCATCTTCGAGGAGCAGCTGAATATTTTCTGAGGAGAAAACTAACAATACACCTAAAAAATAAAAAAAAACACATGATGACACCTTGCATCTGCCTACAATACATCTACATCTGTGGTGTTCAGTGTCCAGACGGTGAACTACAAAATGATCAAGAGCTTTGAGGGTCTCGAAAAGCGCTATATAAATGCAATCTATCATTATTATTATTATTATTAATATTAATATTATTAATATTATCAGCTTATTACATCCCAATGCACTTTGCAGTGTTATTTCATGCAGAAAAATGTCAATGTTAAGGTTAAAAAAAAAAAAAAAGATTTGCTGTGGTCTCTTATCAATGTTACAGCCCTGGCCGGCTAGAGTTTTCTTCTGTGCTATGTCTTTAAGAATCTGCAGGTCCTTCCTGATTGGAGAGCTAACGGTGGCTGATTGCTCATCACCACTCCTGCTGCCATTCAGGTCTTGCTTGCCTGTGTTGTCACAAGCGCAAATACGGTGATGTTGATTTGTCTGACTCTTTTCTATGCTGTGAAGATCATCCTGAGACAAAATGATCCAACTCTGGCCAAATGTCTACTTGCTGCGAATTCCAGCGATCAAAATCCCTGAGTTTACAGCATTGAAAATGACATGTTAATGCGTAAATGGCACCCTCCCTCATTTAATGATCTTGACTGGAATGTTTTTCAACAGATAGCTGTATCGCAAAAGTTCTGACCCCAGGTACTCAGTCTTGCACATGACAGTTTCTCCGGACATTTAGGAATTAGAAAAACTTACTGCCACTCCTGCCACATTTGTCAGGTTAGTGGTAAACCAAACCAAGTTATTCCACCTGCTTCATTACATCCAATCCCAGCTTTAGGGGAACCATTTGAGCACATACTCTTTGATTGTGTAGGTCCACTTCCCAAAACAAAGTCAGGACATCAGTATATTTTGACTTTGATGTGCACCACCACACGCTTCCCCAAGGCTATTCTGTTACGCACTCTCAAAGTCAAAGCTGTTGTTAGAGCGTAACGCATCAAAAACTCAGTGCGTATCATCCCAAATCACAGGGTGCGCTTGAGGGTTTCCAAAAAACATTAAAAGCCATGATGGGGAGGTTCTGCCTCAAGTCAAGAAGAGAGTGGGATGAGGGTCTGCCACTTCTCCTTCTAGCAATGACAGAGAGTGTGCAGGGGTCGACGATTTTCAGTCCCGCAGAGCTGGTGTTTGCGCACAGTGCGTGGTCATTTGTGACTGCTCAAAGAGATATCCCTCAGACAGTTATCCCAAATCAAAACGTGTTAGATTACATATGTTCTTTAACCCTTTAAGACCTACCATAGAACCAAGTCCGCCAGAGCTTATATTATATTTTTACATGCTGTAGTGCCATTTTTGGGAGCATTTCAAGTTGCTATACATCAATGCAACCATACCATTATAGAATTTTTAATAATATGTATGCATTAAGTGCATAGTAACTACATAAATTGCAAATCGTTTTTTTAACATATATTTCTAGTTAGAGAAATTTAAGAGGTTTATCCCTCAAAACTATAAATACAATAAAGTTGCACAAAATAGTTTCCCATGTGGAAATAGAGGATATTATTTTATTGCTACAATATAACTCACATTATTAACATTGCATTAATAATATCCCTTACAGCATTGATATTGTATTAAAGATGTTTATGAAACTTACTGTTATTAACCTTTCACTTACAGGTGCAGCCAAAGTCGGTTTATACACATTGCATGATTGTGCTCATTAACAGAGTTGATGTTCAGTCTCAGTTTATTGGAGGTTTTAAGCTTCGCTGAGCGCGATGTCTCAGTTGATATATTGAGGGAGTTATAGTTTCTTTCCACTGTGTTCCTGTTAATGATAAACTACAAATTTACTCTAAATTACTAAAATATCGATATTTTAATGTGAGAATCGATTCTAGAACATAAATGATTGGTATCGGAGGAATCGATATTTTAGGATCGATCCGCACATCACTAGCTTATGGTACAAGATGTAAGTATAACTTCTCTGGTTTCATATGCAAAATAGAAATTATTGCGCTAGCTTACGTGGTTGAAGTTCTACCGGGATTTTAAAATAGTTACACAAAACAGAGCTGGACCGGCTTTAAAGGGAATAAAGCATACAAAATTGCACGTGTTCTCTTTCCGTATCTCAGAAGAAAATGAAAAAGAAAAAATGAAAAGAAAATTTGACAAGAGATCCGTTCAGAGAAGTTTTGAAGTGGGTGACCAAGTGTTGACTCTCCTACCCAATCCTGGATCTTCTCTCCTTGCAAAGTTCTGTGGGCCCTACACTGTCCAAGAGAAACTGAGTGACAGAGATTATGTTATAGGTACCCCAGACCATAGGAGAAAACGTTGTTTGTGTCACGTCAACCTGATGAAGTCTTATTTTGTTTACAGTGTCGGTGTAAACTCCTCTTCATCCCCTGCTGTGCCGTCGTCCCTGCCCGTATTGGTACCAGTGTCTTTGTCTCAGTATAATCCAAAAAGTGATGGCTTAGTTTTCGTTTGTGCTGAGAGTTGCTCCCGACTCAGAAACTCTGAAATATTAGACAATTTTAAATCCCACCAAAAACATTTAGATGACGCTGCCCAGAACGATATGTGCTGTCTTATAAAAGACCATCCGTTCCTGTTGCAGACACTTTGTCTCGCTCTACGGTCCTTAAACATGACATAGATGTAGGTGACATTCCTCTGATCAAAAAACAGGCTTATCGTGTGAACCCTACCAAACGTGCACTTTTTTAGCAAGAAGTTTCCTACTTTCTGGAAAATAATCTAGCTGTCCTGAGCTCCAGTGCATGGAGTTCCCCATGTCGTCTTGTACCAAAGGTTTACAAAATCCTACGATTTTCGAAAAGTAAACAGTGTGACCAAACCTGACTCTTCTCCTCTTCCTGGAATGGAAGATTGTCTTGATAGAGTTGGAGTCCCCTCATCATGTGGCAGACCTGAACCTGGCTTCCAAACCCTGTGATTTGTGTGTTAGTCCTGAGATTCACAGAGTTTGTATATAGTGTGTAAATTAGTTTTCACTTGTAAAGGCACTGAAACAGAAGGGGTGAGCTGCCTTATTTTTTCTTGTATTATTTCCTCCTGTTTAATTCAGTTAGAGAGGTAGGCGTGGCACTTGTCTTTGTTTGGTTTTTGATTCATCTAGGGTTTTAGATAGCACCTCCTTTCCCGACTTAGCTTGTTCTGTTTGTTATTTTGGCCTTTGTTCCCCCGGAGTTAAGTTTTCAGTTTAGCCACAAATAAACCACCGTTAACTTCAAAGATTTGGCTTCTGGGTATGGTTTTGGGGACCAGGGCGGGGTCACATCTTTCCTAACCCTTATGTTTCATTTCGGTACCCCTAGACTGGGGTGTAACAACCAGTTTTGTTAATGATTTTCATGAATGCTGGGATGGTGTGTCACTATGAATTATGAGGTTATGATAACATGGATCAAGGGTGGTTCAAGCTGGAATATAAAGGAAGCATTGAAGCACTTTTATTTAATTTTTAAAGATTTCCAGCAGCTTGTATCGTGGCTTCCAGCACCACACAGACAGCTGTAGATCATTTCACCTTCCTAAGCAAAACGAGCACCCACAGTATAAGAGTCAAACTGACTAACTGCTGACAGATTCCTGCTGATTACCACATAAATTATAATCAGTGTGATGGCCACTGCAGGGAATGCAGGGCTGTCATGATAGATTTAAAAAAAAAAAAAAAAGCAGTCTGTCAGTCTTACTCATGGAGGTCCTAAATTTCAGGACTGAGGCCAGATGCACTACATAGCTTTAAGGTAGGTGTGAACTTTCTTACTCCTCAGCAGCAGCCGGTTTTGTTCCTTTAAAGTGGAAGATGAAACCCTTTGACTGATCACTCTTCAAAGACACACAGCTGGGTCCAGGTTCAGGTTCAGGGGCATCTGGTGCCTCAGTGATCCTGGTGAACGGAGAAAAAGACCATCAGGCAAAGAAATTACATGTTTAGCCTTCTGACACAAAAAGTACTGAATAAACTTGGATCTAGTCACAGTGATGATATTACAATAAAGCTAAAAAATAAAGCTAAAAAGTTTGATGCTGCTCTTCACAACAAATGACTTCTGTTCTTTTTAGTCTGTTTGTTGCTGTGTTTTCTTCTTTTTACGAACACATCAATAAAACAACAACAATAATAATAATAATAATAATAATAATAATAATAATAATAATAATAATAATAATAATAATAATAATAATAATAATAATAAATGATACACATGTGGCAAACTAAAGCTTCTCACTGATTACTCCTGGATCCATTCAGTTAACTCTTACTTTGCATCAGGAGACAATTTCCTGCTTTTAAAGTCAGGACGGTCTTCCTGTTGAGTGCTTCTCTTCCTCATTGTTACAGAGCTGAGACTCGGCTCAGGTTCATGTTCAGGAGAGTCATGTCTGAGGAGTGAGGAAAGGAATCAGGAAAGGTTATATATCTACCATTTTTTACTCTCTAGGTGAAACATATATTGGAAAAACTTTTCAGGGTTAAAATGAATTAACAAAAGAGAGAGCAGATGATGAAGTTACTGCATGTAGTTTGAAAACATTTCTGTATTTGTTCTTTTAGCAGTGAAGATAATACAAGGTTTAGAGTGTGATACCTTTCCATGTTTGTAACCTGCAGTCACCTGATGGAAGAGAAAAGTGAGAATAAAACACAGATTATAACTTGGCTTTATTTCTGTTTATTGAGATATTTGATAGCTACAAGGTGGTGACCTGTTTCATCATAATTATACTTTTATATTATATTACTTTATAATTAAGGTTTCATTGTTTGTCAAAAAAATCAATCTGACCATCAAAGAGTCAAAAAACAATCATTGTGATGATCACACTTTTCAAACAAAAGATTAAATGGAACAAAAATACAAACAAACATATAATATAAATCAGATCAAAGATTAATTTATTCATCATGTTCCTGAACACCGTCTGTCTGCACTGGGATAACATCTGACTCTGTTCTTTCTCTATTAAGGTCTTGTCTTACTTCCCTTCATCACTTGATGCTTCAGGAGTTTGAGTCAATATTTATGCAAAAGTATTTTCCTGGCACATAACACACATTCTAGAAAGCATCCTCTACTTCAGCTATTTTTCACTTGTATAACTTCCCCACCAGACTGTGTGTAACCACTGCAGGTTTTAAAGACACATCTTAACCCTTTAAGACCTACCATAGAACCAAGTCCGCCAGAGCTTATATTATATTTTTACATGCTGTGGAGCCATTTTTGGGAGCATTTCAAGTTGCTATACATCAATACAACCATTATAGCCCAGATTTTAATAATATGTATTCATTAAGTGCATAGTAATTACATAAATTGCAAAAAAGTGCAATAAACTACAAAAAAATTGAAAATCGTTTTTGATTTTTTAACATATATTTGTAGTTAGAGAAATTTAAGAGTCTTATCCCTCAAAACTGTAAATACAAAAAAGTTGCACAAAATAGTTTCCCACCACAGGAAATTTATTTTGAGTGTCTTCATAGTTTTATTTTTGAAATACACCAATTTTTATACACTGCAGGAAAAATGAAAATAAATATTATACTGCAAATTTGCAAAAAAGCAGCATATGCATCAAAATAAACTATTTCCAGCAGTGCAATATGAGTCCTAAGCATCCCAGAAAAGACACAGAAAGTCATAAAGTCAAAGATAACTTTTAAAAAGAGCAGTATAGGCCCTGAGGCCCTGATCGCAAAAAAGACTACATTTCCGCGAAAATGACGCCACTTCCGGTTTCGGGCAGGTAATGGCGGAAATGCAAAAGTTCGCGCTGACGTCTATTCCAACGTAGGAAGTGTTTTGAACAGCTGATCAGATCGGTAAAGCGTGTTTCTGGAATATTATGTTTTTGTTCCTGCAAGCGCTTTTTATGCAGTTTTTGCAAAGCTTTATGTGGAAGGAAACCGTGACCTAGGACAAGCTGATGGCATCAGATGTAAGTACAACTCCTCCGGTTTCATATGCAAAAAAAATTTTTGCGCTAGCTTACGTGGTTGCAGTGCTACTGGGATTTAAAAATAGTTACGCATAACAGAGCGTTCCCGCTCCGATCGGCTCTAAAGGGTTAAAATAATACATTAAAAAGAATTTTATAAACAACAAAAAATGAAAAATAAAATCATTTTTGAAAGAGACAAAATGAAAATAATTCAAAGCTCACGAAGTGTCCACCATTGGTGTGTTAGCTCACTTCCTTGTTTATTTCTTAGATGTTAATGATTTGAATACAGGTGCTCACTGTACCCGGATGACACGCCCACACTGTCCGACAAGTTAAACAAGTTTATAATGTCACTGCTTTGTTCTGATGTTTTGCTGAATTTCCTGCCCCTGGCTACTGAATTTCATCTATTAAGTGAAAGTTTTAAACAGCAAAACATAAATTATCCACTTACTGAAGAGTGTTTAACATTTTAATTGAATATTAATTTTCTTAAGAACTGTAGGACTCTGCGTCCCGATAAAGTTTTGAATTACACATTTCACTACCCAGAATCAGTGATGCATCAGAACCAGTGAGCTGTTGCTTTCAGCCCTGACGGCGTGTCCATTTACGGCCGTCGGGTGAGAAAGCCGAGAAAGAGAAAGCTGATTCTGATGCGTCGGGTCCGCGCTCTGTGTTTACGTCTTTGTGTGGAATCCATTTACCTGCTCTCACCTGCTCTCACTTTATTCAGGCTACTCACCTCTCTCTATCCACCTGCACTTTCAAACGTACACGCGAAGGACTACAGGAATATCTGACCACGGCCAATCAGAGAGGTCCTGCTCCTGACTATCTCAGATTGGTTTAGACCACAATATGGGCATAATGTGTGTTTGTTGTTGATCACACGGAGACTTTCAGAGTTGTGGAGACCTGCGACATAGGATTTTTTTTTTTTGTGGCACCATTGAAAAATTTAGTTGCATTTGCGACTCAATTGGTTGCAGTCTAGAGCCCTGCTACCAGAAATGACCCAACCAACCCGAATCAAATATGATAAACTACACAGAGAGCTCATCCAGAGGCATTAACAGTCATGTCAACCATGATGAGCTTAAATAACAAATGTCTGAAACCAAAACAGAACAAAAAACAAAACAAATTCATGGTTCATGTCTCACCTTTAGTCCTTCCAACAGAGTCTGTTCTGCCTGCAGTGGGAAACCTTCAGCGGGAAACCTTCAGTCTCCTCGGTCCAGAAAAGAGGTTCTCAAAGGTTTTGTGGTCCCTTTCAGAGGACAACATTATCCCATATAATCAACCTTAGCTTCACATGATGATGTGTACTAACAGAAATATTTAACATCGTTCACAAGAAAGCTGTCTGGCTAATAATTCATTAGTAGCAGGACAGAAAATGAATAAAAGGTAAAATCCATACGTTTGCTGTGTGTCCTTCTTTCACTCTGTACCTGTTTCATCAGTCCTTACAGGACACGGAACCAAGTATATTTCCATATGCAAACACAGCTGTCACGCCCGGCTGCCTGGGGTCAGGTTACATCAGCCAGTTTGTTCCTCTGTTTGTGTTCACTGCAGCTTCAGTTCAGTTTTCAGTAACGTCCAAGAAAGGCGCTGTTGTTATTTTGGGGTGGTTTCATGAGTAATGTTTGAAGAGAACAGTAAAACAGGAAAGATGTACAGGAGGAAAAAAATGTTGTGTGTACTCTATTTGTGTGTTGTTCTTGTAACACACAAATTTACCCTTTCTGTGTACAAGAGGCTGCTGGGAAGATTAAGCCAGCCTCCTGATGACATTAAAACAAATCTGAGATGTGCTCCTGTGATATAAACTACAGAGCAATTCAGATCCCAAACAAACTTAAACTCCATTTGTGAGTACAAGAAAACAATTATTAGAATATAATGAGCTTAAATTTGTTAGATGAGAGGGTTCTGCTGTAGATCAGAGGAAAAGGGAAGGGTGTGTGAATGTCTGTGTGTTTCAGTTTGGTGTAGCTATAGGCCTGAGTGTGTGTAATTGTGTAGAGGGAGAGGAATTTATGGATACTGGGGGTCATCCTGTCATAAAAGGAGACAGGAAGCTACAGTTGGGGGATGATAGGACTGTATGGAACAGATAGGAAAGAGAGGAGAAGTCTGTTACCCTTGTTGTCCCCGAATGTAATAAAAGCTCATAACTGTCACATGGTCTAATTGTGGTCTGGAGGGGAGATGGACTTTTATGACCGGCAGGAAGTCACATATACAGAGACACACACCCAGTGCTTTAACTGTTACGACACACACACACTTACTCACGTGCACACACAGGTACACACACACACAGGTACTCACATGCTCGCACATACATACACAAACACACGGTATTTTGGGTTTATAACACATCATGTGGGTTTTACGATGGGCGGGTCGCTTCTATAAGACTGGTTGTAACAGACAAAGAAGTTGAGATCTGCAGAGGGACACCGGCCCTGTATATCTCCCCTTCTGGAAGGTGCATCTGTAACTGAAGGTGAATAAAGGTTTTGTAAAATAACTACTGAGTTCCGTCTGAGTTAGCCAGAAAAGGCTAACATTGTTATCTTTTTACAAAAAAAAAAAAAAAAAACAGTTAAACATGAGAGGTTTTTGGACAAAGTTTGTGTTCTCCATTCTTTAAGCACAGGTTTGAGCACCGTTTAAGCACCGGCACCGTTTCAAAAGTACCGATTTGGCACCGGTATCGGATAAAACCTAAACGATACCCATCCCTACCTGTTAGTGCTACTTCTTGCCTTCTTTGCCTGTAGTGCGGGCAGTATAGTTACCTTTAACCACAGTACGAAGACAGAAGGGAAATATGGACCAGATCAGACAGGTTCTAGATTCGTAGGAGCCAAGGGTGTATGACAACAGAGTACTTGTACACAGTAGGTGTAGAAAACACAATCGCATTTATTAGCAATTATTAAAGTTTAGCAAGTTGTGCACATTTAACAAAAGTAGAGCGCGCTTCTTGAAAACAAAATAAAATAAACCCCACAAATGGTCGACTCAAGGATATATTGTCTTTTGTGTCTTTTTTAAAGTCAATTTCAGTCTTTCAATGTTCAATAGTCACTCAGTGTGTTTGTAACCAGTCGGGTTACAATCTACCAGTTCATCTGGCTCTTCGGGCTGGGCTCGCCATCCAGTACTGGAAAAGGGATCCTCGATTCTTCTCAGGTCCTCAAAACCAATCCAATCCAAATAAGCAAAGGGAAAAAACCTGACCATGTGAAGCAACAAATGCTACACGGGGCTTCACAGTGCTCACGCTGGCTCACGGCCTCTGGAATACAGTATCACTCTTATTATTCTTGCCGAAAAAAGGACTTTCACTATCCAGCTAGCTTCTTCGCTGCACGGGTAAACTGATCTTTCACCGTCTGTGTCTCTGGCGTATCTCACTGGCACACGAAGGCACACACAGGTGTCTGAGCAGCGCACAGACTGGGGGAGGGTCAGACCGGCCAATGATTGGTTGCTCAGTGGATTTGACAAACACACTCTAAAAGTCCTGCCCCCACACCATTTATATATTACATATGCATATGTACATATTAATTAACTTGTGTTTACATGCTTATTATCAGTATTTATTATATTTTAACTTGTTTTTTTTTTTCAATATTTATTCCCATTGTGAGAGTATGAATATTTATACTTTTAATCCCATTTTTAACACTGGGTTACACCTGCCTATACAGAAATGTGGACACAGAACAGCAGCACAGTATCACCTATAACATATAATAATAATCAACATAATCTACTTTCAGTCTTGGCCATCTCAAACACACGGCTGTGACTGCACAAAAGTCCACCCAGCTGCTGTGAAATCCTTTTTCTGAAGCAAAGCCAATCAGAAGAACCTGGGTTAAAAGCAGGTGGGGTTAAAAAGTCTCATCTCAAGTTCCTGCAGTGAAGTCCAAGAATGAAAATATGGAGCTAGAAAAAGACCTGTGAGTGTGGTGATCAGCACATTCACCTAACATGGGAAAGGTCCCTGTCTGTGGTGATCACCTACAAATAAGGCATAAAAGAAGCTCTGTTTGTATATTAGTTAGCTGGTTTCAGTGATTATATATTTATACATCATGTATGTCATAGACTTATTCTTAAAGCCCTTTTCACATAGGAAGAGCACGCCCTGAGCTGACTGCCAGGTTGAGTAAATGAGACAGAATTTGTGCTGAGCTGATCGCTGCACTCTGCATGTCCTGTGCTGTAGTTTGTCATTCTGCATTTCTATCAATGTCACACCATGCTACACTTTGTTTTATGTGGCAGGAAACCATTATTGCACAGCACAAGCCTTAAGAAATAGTGTGTTTATACCATGTTTGTACCCATAAGTGAGGGACAATGAAAAAGAGAAATACCTACAGCTCACAGGTGCCATGTCCTGAACTCTTTTAATAAAAACCTTTGTTAATTTGTACAAGGCTCTCTTTGTTCGTTTGTTTGTTTTTCATTGGTTGGTCATGAAAACTGAAGCTTACACTGTAAACAGCATGAGACATCTTTTTAAAAGATTCTTCCACTGTGAAAATTATTCTTTTATGTTTTTTATTGTTTGTATTCTTCCTGCTGTAATGGTCGTCTTGTACCTAAATATATCCTGAAAATGACTGGAGCTGTCCTCCTTTCTGGCAAACATTAAGGATAAAAATACAAATGACTGAGCGTGTTGAACATAATATAATCTTTGTGGTATTAGTGACGTTTTGCTGTGGGAAGATCAGATAATGCAAACTGTTTTCCACACTGAGTTTCATTCACCGAGCAGCAATGCTGTTTGTTTTTCACACAGTGAGCTCCTCTCTGCTCAACTTAAGTGGATGAAATCTAAATTTGTCAAAGCACTGAATCAGTAGGTTTGTTAGCAGTTAGCTGCTACCTAAACTGGAGAGTGAGAGGAAGTGACATCACAGAACTCTCCAATGAGACAAGAGGACTCTGAGCCTGTTGTCTCTCTTATGACTGTTTATTTTTTATTTCTTAAAAATACATAATAAATATACAATCTTACAAATACCAACAAAAATGCCACAAACCCAGAGTGTGCTTGCACCTGATCACCTGAGTCAGGATAAGTCACTGATAAATACAGCAGCACGGTGTTCGTTATATTACACTGAACATGTATAATGTGCATGCAATTTTTCTGATGTTCAGATTAGATTAGATTTGTTTTATTGTTATTGCAGTAAAATGCTGATGCATAGAATCAGTAAACTACAGTATAATACAGCATGTGATGCATCTGATTTAATATTAGAAAAACACTTTAGACTATTTAAGTGGAGCAACAAACAACAACTAGTCTCACAACTATGACATGCATTCAGTTATAATTACAGGAAGTGATGCTTTGCTTTCACTTGACATGAACTTTGAGTGTGAAGGACACAAAGATGAGCTGCTGTCTGGTTACCTGCTGGACTTTATTCTGCTTCCAGAACAGGATCATCACAGGAACCTCAGCTCTTCTACATGGAGACCAAACAAGGTCCCAGTGGACTGAAAACATTCACTGAGTGACTGATTCCATCATTCAAACATTCACATGTTGGATTCATGGAAGGAAAGAACTATATGAACCAAACAGCAGCATCTGGAACACATCTGGAAAACACAATCCCTCCATGCTCCAACAGTCAGGACAAACTCTGATTTTCTGCATTGATTCAAGTTTAACACTGTAGGAAATAATAGATTCACATTTGTGTTTACAGAGTTACAAAGTGTTTTATTGAGTTTAGTGTGAATCATTTTCTATCACAGAAAAGTTCATAGAGAATATAAATCATTTGATAACAGCTTCTCATCACAGGAATCATCTGTGTGAACAGATTCAGAGGTAAATACAGGAAATAAACAGAACAGGTACAAACAGTGTATATATCACAGTGATATGCTGACTTATGAGTGTTATAGAGGAGGAGCATCACAGCAGCAACAGCTTCACCTAATGTACAAAGTAACATTCAAAGAATCTCACAGAAATGCTGCAGTTTGAACATCAACACTCAGCTACAGTCTGAGCTGAAATGAGGCTGTCTGTCCAGATGGTGGCGCTGTAAGCTCACTGTTTCCTGCTCTGTTACAGACACCATCTTATTTTCAGTTTCTTGCAAACATCACCACAGTTTACAGACGATCCTGCAGCTTTACTTTGACCTGCTGCACTTTCAGGGATTATCACCAACATTTCACTCCTGGCTGACTCGTTTTATTATTATTGATTATTGATCAGTCGGACTTCTTTTAAACAAATTAAAATTAATAAAACGTTTCTTCTTTTTTTTCTTTTTTTTCTTGTAGGGGAGTAGTGTTTGTGTTTCTCAGAATCAGCTGAAAATCATTCACTGAACAAACATTTTTCCATCCACGAAGTAAGAGCGTATAACATGATGTGTTTCAATACTGCATCAGAACTCGTGACAAAAACAAAGAAGGATGCTTAAATGTTGAGATAAAAACACATTTCAGGACTGAGTTGGAACAGATTTCCCTCTAAGACCTAAATAAATATCCACAGGAAGCAGCAACACTGAGTTTAAACTCTGAATAAAGATTTTATTTATTTGAAAGGTTCAAGGACGGAACTGCTCTTCTGTTTCCTCAATGCGCACTTTAAATTTTCAAAACTTCACAGCTGTGATTGATCCAAACAAAAGCTGACGAAGGACCAGAGTCAAAATATAAAAGCTGGTTTAATAATAGTTTAATTAATGGGCTTCCTCTGGATCACTAAGAAGTCCCGACCAGCTCAGGACGTATCCTGCCTTCCGCCCAAAGACAGCTGGGACAGGCTCCAGACCCGGAATAAGGTGATAAGCGGAAGTAGATGTGTTGAAAAAAATTCTAACATGAAATCCTGCTGAGTTTTATATTTTAACATTAAAGATGTTTTAAAGGACTGAACATGAAAAATAGAAAGAGCCAAACTCACCAGTTTAAAGAGAGCGAGCAGCGAGCTGTCCCTGTTGTTCACATTAATAATTTAATGATCAGCTGAAGAACGAAGTGACTGTCAGCAGCAGTGAGAAAGACTCAGAGGAGGAAGAAGCTGCTGGCTAGAAATTAAAGACTGATCAGAAACACAAGAAAAACAAGTTAATGTAAAACATGAACGGCTTTGATTCACACCGAGTAAAAAGGAGGAAACACGAGAGTCGATTCATCTGGAATCAAACATTTTCTTTAAGTCCGGAAAAATAAAAAATGTTAATACGTGAAACGAGTTTGAAGCAAAAACTTAGCTGAAGCGAAAATATGAAAATGGTTGTTAGGTAAACAGTTCCTGCTGTAAGACACGAACACATCAAATACTGCTGCTGTCTGTTCTTCTTTCCACACAAATTCTGTACACAACAGTATCCACGGACAGATTTCACAGGCTGCTGGAGGGAACAGACCACTCCCGCCTCGTCCAGTGGGCGTGGTTGTGCTTGATTATTCCCTGCCCCTCATCATTGGGCGGGGTTTCGTATAGAGCATGATGACCACGCCCCCAATGACGCCAATGGCCACGCCATTGAACACTCAATTATATATTAGATTATATATTATATATTAGAAATTGTTATAAAATAAAACAAGCTTACCATAAAATAATCTTGTCAATATAACATATAGTAGTCCAATACAATTAACACAAAAAGTTCATGTCTGATAAACAAGTGGTTTCTATAAATATTTGACCGGAATGAAAAACATAACAACAACATAAAAAAAGTCATGTTCGTGTTACCAGAAAAATGTGTGCAGGTATAACATAAAAAACTAAGGTTAACCAACATAACTTAATTTCGTGCAACCGATTACAATAATTTTTTTATGTTTATCCACTGATTATTTTTTTCAGTGCAGATTTCACTGACTGAGCTGGAAGGAACAGTTACTTATAGTTACTAACCTCTGCTCCGCCTCAACGCCCCTTCGGGCCTAGCCATAAACCCCGCCCATGGCGTGTGCGGAGCAGAGGTTAGCTATATAAGTAACTCTGTTCCTTCCAACTCAGTCAGTGAAATCTGTCCGTGTTTGTTGGTGTGTGCAGAATGTGGGTATAAAGAAGAGCAGACAGCAGCAGTATGTATGTATTTGTATCTGTAACTCTGTTTTTTCATGTCAAACGTCTCTGAGAGTGTTTAAAGTGAAATCTCTGCTCTCATTATCATTAGATATAATGTTATTATTTTACCAGCTGATGTTACAGTCTAATACAGACTGTTTGCATCGTTTACTTTCAGACAGTTTGTTCTCCTTCTTTTCTCTCTCTCTCTATTTCATCCATCATCATCATTTTTATGAAGCTGAACAAGTGATGATGTCATTTCTGATTTCACTGTAATGTGAGAACTCACAGAGGCAGATTTTATGAGTTACACTTTATATTTTACTGTCAGCTTGGAGAAACGGTTTCTTTGTATTGTGATCATTCCTATAAAAGTAATGAGGTTTATATAACACTGTGTTATATTTGCATGAGGCATCATTTTGAGGTTAATTTTTTATAAGAAGAACACAAAATTTTTTATTTTCTTTCTCCTGGTGGACAAACTCTGTAACTACAAAACTGTTTCTAAATGATTTTAAGCCTGCTTTGATATTTCTGCAGTTTCTCCTTGTGTTTGTTTGCAGATCTTGAAATGAGTGAATAAAGTCAGATTTTCCTTCTTCTAGCTGTACTGACTGACCTTTGACCTCATGTGTTGATGACTCTTCACCTCTGTCTCCTCTCACAGGGAGAAGATGATCTGCAGGATCCTGCTGCTCATCATCCTCACCTCATGTGTCTCTGGTTCGTTTACAGCTTCACTTTATGAACTCCAAATAAAGCTCAACAACAGATTTGTTCCAGTTCTCAGTGTGTCTGCTCCTCTCTTTCCCTCTCTGTCTCCTCAACAGGATCATTTGTAGTCAATGTGACACAGACCTGCTATCAGGCAGAGGAGAACCACAACATCACACTGGAGTGGACGTTCACCACCAGACCTGACAGATCCACCAAAACTCTCAACATCCTCTGTGAACTGATAACTGTGGTTAAACGTTTAATCCTGTATGATGTTCATGAAGGTGTTGAGGTGTCAGAGTCTCAGGATGAAAAGTTTTCAGGACGAGTCCAGAGTGACAAAGACGCCCTCAGAGAAGGACGAATCAGACTTCAACTGTCCAGACTCAGGACTGATGACTCGGGTCGGTACTTGAGTGAGGCGGAGACAGGTCATTGGTCCGGACAACATTTTTTTCTTGTTTCTCCTCCTCTTCTTTTCTCTTTTTTCTGAGCACATGATGGCTTTGAACTTTTCTTGTCCATCTTCCATTGGTTTTAATTTTTCACTCCAGTTTGAACACCCATCTCAACCCGAGGATCACCACAACATAATCTAACACACCTACACCTTAGTTCACAGATTCACTTTGTCTAGGGTGCATTTCTGAGATTTCACACAACCCAGGATTCAAATCATGAATACGTAATGGGCTTGGATTTACAACATTATGAATGAAATGTGCTCTATTTGGAAGCAGCAAGACCCCCTTCCCCTTTCGATGTGTTGTGTGTGAGACTTTAAATCATCAAACTGTAAATTTTAAATTGCTATTGATCCCTTTACCCTAGTCTTAAGTGTATATTTATTTTCTTACTCTTATATATTGTTTGTTTACTTGCACTGCTGTAACTGGAGCCTCGTCGTCTCGTCTCTATATACTGGACTGTATGTAGCGGAGATGACAATAAAGTTTACTTTGACTTCAGCAGCGAGCAGGCGCACCGAGGGCTCTCGCGCTCACTTTTCGCGTATAGAATTTCGAAAAAACATCGGTGCAAATTATAAGTCTGTATCACGATGTCTGGTGTTTCGTGTTTGTTGGTTTGTTTTTATTTTGTTTTATTTTGCGAGTTGGTTTTTAGATGCCGCACCAGCCCGCCCTCTCTCTCTGCGCCGCAAGCAGCAGGCGCACCTCGCAGACGAAGGGCGTCCTTACTCCCAGCAATGGGCGATAGAAAACCGATCGGAGCCTATGCCATTCCCAATATGCGCTGGCTGACGTCGGGGCAGCATGAGTGCGGGCATCTTTTTTTTTGCCGATGCCCGTGATGCCGCCCCCACCACGATGCCGCCCCGGGCACCCGCCCGTGTCGCCCGTATCTAAAACCGCTACTGGGAGACAGATTCAAAGTTCAATAAAATAACTAAATGTCTTGATGTTCCTTACTTGAAGATACAACATCCACAGTGTTACATATTTTATAAAGGAGGATCAGCACAATGACAACAGCATCACTACATAAACCAAATTTAAAGTATTTAAGGGAAGTTAACTGGACATGAATTAAGTTTTTCCTTAAAGAAAAACAATTCTAAGTAAATGTTTCAGTCTTTTTGGTCAGATGTTGGTGCAAAATTACTGACCTAGCAGACATGTCAGGTTAGAATGCTACAAACACTGACGCTGGATAAAATCTAACTGAGGACTTTCAGTTCAGTTCAGAAGAAATGTGTCATTCTTCTATAAAAGTCATAACCTCGTAAGTGCGTACAGGTCACACTTTGAATCACCTTGCTGTTGAATTGTGCTATACAAATAAACTTGCCTTGCCTTAAATTAAGCTACCAGAATTATTTTTCTGGTTAAGCTGGAGGGCGTGACATAGAGCTGACCGCCGTTTAGTGCTTCTGCGTCTTTATAACGACCATAAAAAGCTGGCTGAAACTGATGTGAAATTACTTTCAGAGCGAGCTGCCATGTTGGGTCACACTGCTTCCTGAAAAGGTTTATTCCTGTGTTTTCTCAGGGAGGTCCGTTAACGTTTCTGTTCAGCTGGACCGTTTCTGCATTATCGGTGGTTTCTGGATTAAATTCTGCACCGTTAATTGGAGGTAAAGTTGTACACCGTAAACCTTCATGCTAATCGGCTGCACTCGTGTCGTTTTACGGTGTCCTAGGTTTTTCTCTCTTCTTCTTCAGAGTTTGTTTTCCTTTCTTCAAGCTATACAATTAACTTTATTAACGCACAGATTACATTTATGCGGTTTTATATTATTTATATTATTGTTCTCGGTCATCCGGTTCATGTTACTGTAAAGAGTTTGGGGAAAAAAGGCGACTGGACTGTTATTGTAACCAAATAAACTGCTGATGCGTCTTTGTTGCGAATTTATCGAAATAAACTCAATTTCCAGTTTATGTCGCACATTTTCACTCGTCTTTGAAGGCTTAGTCTTCTTTGTTTCCTATTATTATTTGGATTCACTGGGTTACGAAGATCCTGATTATATCTGCGTAGTTTGATAAATAACGAAAGTGAAACTAAAGAGGACGCCGCCATCTCCCCAGGGACAAAAACAAGCAGTATAGACAGCAGTAAAAATGCACTACATGAAACATGGAAGTAAGTTAAGGTAGTAAAAAATAAGAAGTCAGTTAGGGTTCTCTGTGTTTAAATGCAGTAATTAGTATTTAAGGAACATTTTAAATCTGATTAAATTATGTTATTGATCGGAGTCTCCTTTGTTCCATATTTCATATGTGCCAAGATCTTTTCAGTGGGTCTGGAACACAGCTGTGACTCTGAGCCATGTTGCTGTAACTGCTTGATGCATTTTGTTGAATTAAGCAAAAAAAGGACGTGAAAGTTACACATAACATTATCAAAAATGCTCCGGATGACGAGTTTCTTTTTTCTGTTTTTCACCGTCCACTTTTCCCTAAAATAATTTCACGTGTTGAGATTCAGACCAAAGTCTTCTGCTTTGCCTCAGCCCGGAGTTTGTGGAGTGTGTGATCCAGCCGCTCTGGATCATTTTCTTTTATTTAATAATACAGTACAATACAATGTACTATTTTAAATTAAATTAATTTTATGTATTACTTTATTTTTCCACAGTATTTTCTTCTGGATTTTTTTTAGCCACTTATGAATTTAATCACTTGTGGAATTGCCCATAAACATCTGTAAAAGCTCTTTAAAGCACTGGTACTTTGTATCTATGTATCAGAGTATCCATATTATTGAATACACCACAACCTAATTAGAAACAAACAAATAAACAGAACACATCAACAGAAACAAACCAGATTAAAACTTGTTTCTCTCTTTGATCAGGTGACTGCAGGATTTGGCCAAAATGGAAAGGTATGACACTCAACACCACACATTACATTTCTCTGTATTAATTCTTTCCTTTTTAGTATAAGTGTTATTTATTCATATGTCACAGAAAGCTTTACTCTATGATGGTTTGAAACTAAAGCTTATTTTTTCCTACAGATTAAGATGCCTTTTAGGGTTATATATATTTACTAGAATAATATTTACAATGAACAACATTTCCCCTGATCTGCCTCATTATGAGATTTTCTTTAAAGAGAAAAGAAAGTGTTTTTACCACCTTATCAAAACGCTTCACTATAAAAGCAGCATCAATGTGAAATCATTTCAAAAGACTGCAGTAAATATTGGACTGGTGTGTTTTTGATACACATGTGCCATATAACCTATATTATAAATCTAGAGGTGCTGGTTATTATATTAGTCTTGTTTTTAGATCCAAAGAATACCTGCCTGCCTTTAGTCTTCACGGCCATTATAAGCTGTCCTCTAACATCCATAGATTTATGTGATCTGTTTCAGATCATAGGTTTCTTGCAGTTAAGCACCAACAAAAACAGATGAAAACAGATGTCTGAAGTCTTCCTGGAAACCAGAAAAGACTGAAGTGAACCAAAATAATTTAGTGTGAAGAGCCGAAAACTATATAGACCCAGTGTTTTTTTTTCTTCTTCTTGTAAATAGTTTGTGCAGCATATGCTGCAGCTGAAGACTGTAAAGGTAATTTCCATCCCTGATGGTCTCCTTTTCTGCCTGCCAGGATCCATCAAAGACCAGAAACCCTGAAAATTGAACAGGAACCTGAACTCAGCTGTGTGTCTGTGAAGAGTGATCGGTCAAAGGAAGCCATCGTTGTTTTCCAAGGAAGTGGATCTCCTTCAGATGATGAGTAAGATATAACCATTTGTCTAGCAGCTGTTGTAGCTGAAGAGTAAAGAAAAAGCAAAATTATATCCCACTGAAGTTAAAAGAAGAAAATCCTCCGCTGCACATAAGTAAGATATGATTATTTCCATACATTACATATCTGCAGTAAGGAAAACCTAAAAACTGCTTTTGTTTCACTTACACCTTAAATTAAAGCTAAAAATAGGTGAAAACTATTTTTGTCTAAAATGTGTCTAAAATGGTCAGTGTAAATAAAAAACAATCACATGTAGCTTCAGTAGTTAATAAAACTGAAGATTGAAAAGTGTATTTTCCTCCTTGATGGTCATTGTTTCTGTTTACCAGGACACATCATAAACCAGATGTCCCTGAACCTGGACTTGAAGCTGAACCCAGATGTGTGTCTGTAAAGAGCGATCGATCAAAGGAAGCCATTGTTGTCTTCAAAGGAAAGGGATCCCCTGCTGTTGAGAAGTAAGATTAAATGATGCCTAGTAGGAGTTATAGCTGACGTGTTTCCTTACTCCAGTCTGGTGAACTGGTGATAAAATGGTAACTTAAAGTAAGAATTGAAATATAAGGAAATCATTTTCTGTCTGAAAGATGAATTCAGTGTATCACTGTAATCCATACATGATATCAACATGAGCTTGGTATTGATCTTTCTCTTTGTAGGAACACTACTGATAAAAAATTAGTATGTGATTATTATTCTTGAGTATCAAAGAAAAGTCTTATTTTAATACTAACATTATTCAGTAGTCACCTTTTGTTTATATTCATGTTTTATAGTACTTTTCAAAATCGGGTCTACAAAGTTTTTACAATGAAAAATTAAGAAACAACTATGTAAAACAAAACAAATTAGACATTTTTCCCTTTGATATTTATGGTGGTATGAAAGATGAAGAGAGAATGGCCGTTATATTGTTATTTCAAGCACTGTGAGTGTAGAATCCGCCTGCTGGTCAGACAGAGGATGAATTGAAGGCCTGCACTGTTACTCATGCAATGGTACTCTAGTAGAGTCCAAATTTTAAAAAGAGAGCTCGAGATGAACATAAATAGGTTAATTTTAAGACCTTTATAAAACAGACACACAAAGTCTAAGCTTTGATTCTTCACGTTGTCTCCATAGAGTTGTTCAGTCTGGCTCAGATGTCTCCTGCCCCCATCATGCCCCGCAACATAAAACTGACCTGAGCCAAATATTTATGGTCTGTATATGTGAAACATTTATTTATTTGTTTTTTTACTATACAACTTAAATCAAAAAATAGATAAAAGTAATCAGCTTTCACTAGAGCTACATTTTAAACAGAAATAAAGCCAAAGCGTTACCTTCACTTCAGGAAATTTGTTCATTTGTCATTCATTCTGTTTCAGGGGCTGGAGGACAACATTGTCACTTTTGTGAAGAATGAGCTAAAGAAAATGCAAAATCATCTAAATGCAGAATCCCCTGAAAGTCAGAGAGAAGATGTGAAAATATTGGACAGTGAAGACGAGGAGCAGAGGAGGATCATTGGAGAGGCACTTCTGCAGATCACAGTTTATTTCCTGAGGACAATGAAACTGGAAGATCTGGCTGCCTGTCTGGAGAGCAGTAAGAGGATTTCTTTTCATAAATGCACCATTTAGGAGGACAGAACTGTTGTGTGTCCTGTATAGGGATGGGTATCGTTTAGGTTTTATCCGATACCGGTGCCAAACCGGTACTTTTGAAACGGTGCCGGTGCTTAAACGGTGCTCAAACCGGTGCTTAAAGAATGGAGAACACAAAATTGGTCCAAAAACCTCTCATGTTCAGCTGTTTTTTTGTAAAGAGATAACAATGTTAGCCTTTTCTGCAGCTATGGGGCATATATGGTATCACTCATGGCTGGAAGCAGTGCTTAAACAATGGAAAAAAAACACAAACTTTGTCCAAAGACCTCTCATGTTTAACTGTTTTCCATTTTTGGCAGCACGGTGGTTAGCACTGTTGCCGCACAGCAAGAAGGTCCTGAGTTCAATTCCACCGTCAAGCCGGGGTCTTTCTGTGTGGAGTTTGCATGCTCTCCCCGTGTTTGCGTGGGTTCCCTCCAGGTACTCCGGCTTCCTCCCACCGTCCAAAGATGTGCAGCTTGTGGGGATAGGTTAATTGGATAATCCAAATTGCCATTAGGTGTGAATGTGCGAGTGAATGTGAGTGCGAATGGTTGTCTGTCTCTGTGTGTTGGCCCTGCGACAGACTGGCGACCTGTCCAGGGTGTACCCCGCCTCTCGCCCTATGACAGCTGGGATTGGCTCCAGCGCCCCCCGCGACCCTGAAAAGGATAAGCGGTAGCGAATGGATGGATGATGTATTTTAGCCTTTTTGGCCTGGGTGAAGGGAGTATCTGCCATTAAACAAGAAGACAGCCGCATGTAACTACTACGGTGTTTGCTAGTTCACCTTACTTGCATTAATGTAATAACGTGGTTAGCCTACTCAATGTAAAGTATACACGAACAACATTAAGCTACTCACGCAGAGAAGAACGGCTGCTGCTGCCGTCATCATCCATCATCATTTCTGCTACACTGGCAGGGCTAGGGGCCAGGACTCTACTCTTCGGGTTTTTGGGGGATGTTGCTAACTCCGGGTCCGATAACAGGCAACCCACCCGCAGTAGATGTGCTCGGTGTGAGGTCTCGCAGCAAGCTATCAAATACGGTGCATTTTTCGGCTTAAAAAAAAAAACACTATGCGTCGCCAGGTGTTTCATCGGATTTGAGGTGTTACCTCCTTTGACAGTATCACAGTATCAGCTTAAAGCACTTGTTGCAGGCTGCTGAGTTTGCATATTTTGCTGTGAAGTACAGCCAGACTTTTGACCGCTTCGCCTTGGGCATTTTTAATCTGTAGCTCTGCTCTAAAAGAACGTATGTACCTGGCCCCGCCTACTATCCTCGGAAACGTAAAATGATTGGCTAGAATTCAAATTGTGTGACATCTCAGGAAAAAAAAAAGCACCGAAATAAAGCACCGAAATGTGCGCTGCTTTTCGGTCTGGTTACTACCCTTTATGCCATCATGGCACCGGATACCGGTACCCATCCCTAGTCCTGTATATTCAATACTTTAATAAAAATATATAACATTCTTACGATACTTTTATAAAAGAAATTATGGACTAACATTTATATTTGAATTTCTCTTTTTTTGCTTAGAAAACCCTTATTCAGGTTGTAGGTGTGAGCTTAAGTCTACCCTAAAGAAGAAGTTCCAGTGTGTCTTTGAGGGGATTGCTAAACCAGGAAACGCAACCAATCTGAATAAGATCTACACAGAGCTCTGCATCACAGAGGGAGGGACCGGAGTGGTCAACACTGAACATGAGGTCAGACAGATTGAAATGTTTTCCTGGAAACCAAACAGACCAGAAACAACAATCAGGTGTGAAGACATCTTTAAAGCTTCAACTGGAAGAGACAAACCAATCAGAACAGTTCTGACCAAAGGAGTGGCTGGCATCGGGAAAACATTCCTGACACAAAAGTTCACTTTGGACTGGGCTGAAGACAAGACCAACCAGGACATCCAGTTCATGTTTCCATTCTCATTCAGAGAGCTGAATTTACTGAAGGATAAAAAGTTCAGCTTAGTGGGACTTATTCATCACTTCTTCACTGAAATCAAAGAAGCAGGAATCTGCAACTTTAAAAAGTTCAAAGTTGTGTTCATCTTTGATGGTCTGGATGAGTGTCGACTTCCTCTGAACTTCCACATCACTGAGATCCTCACTGATGTTACAGAGTCCACATCAGTGGATGTGCTGCTGACAAACCTCATCAGGGGAAAGTTGCTTCCTTCTGCCCACATCTGGATAACCACACGACCTGCAGCAGCCAACCAGATCCCTGCTGAGTATATAGACATGGTTACAGAGATCAGAGGGTTCACTGACCCAAAGAAGGAAGAGTACTTCAGGAAGAGACTCAGAGACAAAGAAGAGGCCAACACCATAATCTCTCACATCAAGACATCACGAAGCCTCCACATCATGTGTCACATCCCAATCTTCTGCTGGATCACTGCTACAGTTCTAGAGAGTTTGTTAAAAACCAAACCGGCTGGAGGGAAGCTGCCCAAGACACTGACTGAGATGTACATTCACTTCCTGGTGGTTCAGACCAAAGTGAAGAACATCAAGCATGATGGAGGAGCTGAGACAGATCCTCTCTGGAGTCTAAAAAGTAAGAAGATGATTGAAGCACTGGGGAAACTGGCTTTTCAGCAGCTGCAGAAAGGAAACCTGATCTTCTATGAATCAGACCTGACAGAGTGTGGCATTAATGTCAGCGAAGCCTCAGTGTACTCAGGAGTGTTCACACAGATTTTTAAAGAGGAGGGGGGACTGTACCAAGAGAAGGTTTACTGTTTTGTCCATCTGAGCATTCAGGAGTTTTTAGCTGCTCTTCATGTCCATCTGACATTCACCAACTCTGGTATCAACCTGCTGAAAGAAGAAGAAACAGCCTCAGTGCAGAGTGGAGAATCTTCAGTAAGACATTTCTACCAGAGTGCTGTGGACAAGGCCTTAAAGAGTCCAAATGGACATCTGGACTTGTTTCTTCGCTTCCTCCTTGGTCTTTCACTGCAGACCAATCAGGATCTCTTACAAGGCCTGCTCACACAAACAGGAAACAGCTCACAGATAAATCAGGATATGGTCAAATATGTTAAAGAAAGGATGAATGACACTCTCTCTCCTGAGAAAAGCATTCATCTGCTCCACTGTTTAAATGAATTGAATGATGACTCTATAGTGAAAGAGGTCCAGCATCACCTGAGTTCAGGACACCTGTCCAAAGTTGATCTCTCTCCTGCTCAGTGGTCAGCTCTGGTCTTCATCTTACTGTCATCAGAAACAGGTGTGGATGAGTTTGACTTGAGGAAATATTCAGCTTCAGAAGCGGCTCTTCTGCAGCTGCTGCCAGTGGTCACAGCCTGTAAGAAAGCCCAGTAAGTATCCAGTTTAAGCCTTTCAAGAGATTACTTTAAAGTGCTTCTTTTAAGAGTTTGGAAAGTTCTCTGATATTCACGTTTCCAGGTTGAGTGGCTGTAACCTCACAGAGAGAAGCTGTGAGGCTCTTTCCTCAATTCTAAGTTCTCAGTCCTCCAGACTGAGAGAGCTGGACATGAGTAACAACAACCTTCAGGACTCAGGAGTGAAGCTGCTTTGTGTTGGACTTGGGAGTCCACACTGTATGCTGGAAACTCTCAGGTTAGCTGATTCTTTGTTTAAGAAAATGTGGGTATTTCACAACAACTGTCGTTATTTTATAGATTTTAAGATGTGGTTTCTGTTCTGATGTAAGCTCTGAAAGAGAACAGTAGAGTAGAAGTGAAACACACACTTCCCAAATCAAAAAAACTATAACTTTATTTATGATTTAGTGTAGATTTATTCCAAACGGCTCTCATATTTTCGAATGTGTAACATACAGACGATTTGTCACATAGCATCGGTATGTTACGTTTTTGGATGAGAACGTGTCCGTCATAGTAAAAAAGACAGAAAATAATTATGTTTTTTGTTGTTTTTTTTTTAATTTGAGTACAGAAAAGCCAGTTAGTGTGTTTTTAACAACTTTAACTAGAATCAGAATCTGTTAGTTCGACTGTACATCATCAAATTCAGAGTAGTTCCTAACAATGATGTGACATGTTGTATGTTTGAAGGCTGTCAGGCTGTCAGATCACAGGAACAGGCTTCCCCTCTCTGGACACAGCTGTGCGCTCCAATCCCTCCTATTTGAAAGAGCTGGACTTGAGCTATAATCATCCAGGAGACTCAGGAATGAAGCTTTTGTCTGATCTAAAGAAGGATCCACATGTGAAACTGGACATACTCTGGTAGGAAAACAGGAAATACAACTGGAAATATATTTTTTCTCCAACATATTGTAACAAAGAGCAGATATTTTGAGTTTTTGATTTGTTTAACCCCAGTTATGACAGGTGCCTTTGTGATGGTTCTGGGTCTGTGACACAGGGTTTTGAGGTTTTTTTTTTTTTTTTGCTGCTTCCTGTTGTGTACCCATGTCCTTTGTGCTCCACACAGTCACAGCCATACCTCCCTGTTTTTAGTCAGACGAGGCGCCAGGGTTTCCATTTTCACGAAGAAGTCATCTGTGGGTGTGGGCACACCCGGGGAACACAGATTAACAGAAACTAATTGATGAGACAGGAAGCAAACACACATGAGATGAGGAACTTTCAAAATAAAACAGGAATTAAGAGTATACTGACTGTGACAGAGACACATGAACCTGACCGAGACAGAAAGGTAGACAAACATGGAGACAGAGGAATACAAACACAAAGACAGAGACTCAAGGAGTGACAGAGGGAAAGCAGGGAACAAACTGAAACTCCAGGAATCAAAATAAACAATCACTATAACCAGGAATATGAAAGAGCAGAAATAAAAATAAGCACAACTGCATAATAAGTAATGAAGAAACCCAGGAACACTAAATCAAAGACGCCTACCCTAAAAACTTTCAATTATAAAAATATGAGAATAATAAAGATCAGTCAGAACTTAGAGTCCAAACACAAACGCTGGATCGAAGCCCCAGGACTATATGACAGGGTCGGCAGCAGTCCAAATGAACTGGAGGGGCAATTAACTTTGAAAGGTTGACATTTGACTCTTTTTGCCATTTCAAATAAAAAAAAAAGCAATGTATATTTGCAACTATACAGTCACAGTATACTCAGAAGGAAATATATCCATGGTTAAAATAAGTACAAAAATATCTGTGTTAGACTGTAGAAGCAAGAGACAAGCTGTACACACATGTTCTCTCAATGAACTCACCACACACAGCTGACTTTGAAGACAATATCTTCAGCATATTCACATGATGATGAATGAAAGACTTTCCATGATGCTCATGCTTCCCTGCCCTGTTATTCCCACTGACACTTCTGGTAGAAACATCTCATAAACAACAGGAGAAAGACTCAGACGGAGTTTAGAGGTTGCACAGGGTGATATGTTTGCTCAGATTTTGAAAGGTATTGGACAATCTCCAAAAGTTGATTCTGTTCATCTGGACATAGCGTTATAGTGGGAGAAACGTTTCGTCACTCATCCAAGTGATTCTTCAGTCTCAGCTGACTGCAGGTTTCCCCAACCTTATAACAGTACATTTGCATAATGACTGAAACCAGCCCACTGAAGGAACAATGGGCTGGGAGGACAATGTGACAGTTATGTTGTGACTGGTCAGAATTAGCCAACAAAAGTTAATACATGTTTTATTATTCATGTTTTCTTCGTCTTCGTCTTCTTCGTCTTCATAATGGATTGCATTTATATAGCGCTTTTCTACGCACCCAAAGTGCTTTACAATTCCACTATTCATTCACTCAAATTCACACACTTTTAACCCTTTCACATATAGTGGTCACAACAGTGGACAGCTATTCAAAGGCTATTTTCTTGTATTTGTGTCAGTGTACATGGTATACTGGCACTAGTACACTCACGTTGTTGTAAAAAGCATGATAATATATTAAGTAATCCAACGTATTCAGAATACGTTACTGTCATTGAGTAACGTAACAGAGTACGTTACAGAATACATTTTGGGGCATGTATTCTGTATTCTGTAATGGAATACGTTTTAAAAGTAACCTTCCCAACACTGTCCCCCACCAATGCTGGGGCAACAGTGACAAAGACAGAAACAGACTCAGACCCAAATAACTTGAAGCCTGAACACAGCAGTCTTTTCTCAAAATGTTTTGTTCTATATATTGATTTGTTTTGTGTTGCACTGAATAACTAAGCAACTGAAACATCCTCACACATGTTAACAGAGACAGAACATAGTATTTGAAGCACATTGTTTATTGTAGTGACAGAAACACAGGGAGGCAGAAAATAAAGCAGACTGAAACCAAGAAATGCTGCTGCAAGAAAGTATGAAACCAATACAGAATATGGAGAATAATCAAAAATTCAAAACCAGAAAAAACCCAAACATCCCAAAACTCCAAACTCTGAGTCTAAAACCCAGGGATCATGACATTATGTAACCCTGTTTCATTGTCCCCTCCAGATTTATTTTCCCTTGCCAATGTTTAGGGTCAGATTGTCTTCCCAGACTGACTCTCAGTCTGGAGTTTACTGTGTACCTTTATGCCAATAAATGCAGAACCACTGTAAGCTTTGAAACAGGATTTTGACTTTCCTGGTGCCAAATAAAAGTGAAGTAAGTACTTGCATTTCATGCGGTGCAGATACAGTCATGTGAAAAAGTAAGAATTCTTCTTAAGTTATTCAATTCCTACTCATTGTTGAGGTGATCCTACAGGGGTGCACTGTTTTATACAGTGTTATTTATACAGGATCTTTTTTTTTACACGTCTTCAATGTCCTCAGGTTGTATTTAGGTAATTTAAGAACCTAATACAGACCTGATAATTAAAAGAAACGTGCTTACGATACATAAAAACAAAAATCCAACCTTAGAACTAAATGAGAAACTATGATCATTTTCAATTTATTGTGAGATAAAATAAAGTGCAAGCTTATTTCTCTAGAAGAGATGAATCAGAGAATATAAAGGCCATGTTTTCACACTAAATGATGATGTGCTTATTTCAGTGTGGAGCCTCAAGGAGTCCAGTGGATGAGACCAGGTCTAAGAAAATGTAAGTGTGTTTTTGATTTACTAGCTGTATTTACATCATTTTTTCACACATTATATGCATCTCTGCTAAATATCTTTTATCATATATTTTATAAAAAATTGTTTCAGTTATTAAATTCCACAACTAAAAACCCATTTTTGATACAATCTTAAAACATCACAAAGTTTTGCATACTGGTTTTTCTTCTTCATAAACTAACGTGAAAACCAATTAAACCCTTTCTTCATTATCTGGTGAAGAAACGTGGCCACATGGTCAACTAGAATTTTCTATTCAGATATAATTTTGCTAGTGGTAAGATTGGCATGGCTAGAGGAACAGCTGTAACAGCGCCAACCTCGTGATTAGTTTATAATATTTGGTGCGAAATCAAAGTTACCAGAGAGGGGGGGGGTTAGATTAATTAAATTATTGATCTACTTTAAACAGAATTTGGCTTCATGAGTCAGGTTGTAATTCATCTGTGTTAACTAGCATTAGCTAATGTACCGATGATCAGATTTGAGAATGAAGACAGAAAAATCTTTCCATAAATCAAATACACTGCTGATGCTGACTGATTCTGACGATGACCTGATTTTTGACTGAAAGGCAAATGTAAAGTTTGGCTCTGTTAACACTAAACTACCAAGGAGAATATTTTTACCCATCAGCATTTTAAAAATCCTGTCACCACACGAGATATTTTCACTGTGTAGAAATCAGTGTAAAACAACTCTGGCACTCCTAGTTGCCTAGCAACACATTTATGCGCATTTTGATGTGCACATAAAATGAAAATAATCAAATCACATAACATCACTTTGATGTTTGTGTTTAGTGTTGGTGGTGCACCTTAGACGTGAACTGAATGTGAATGCAAAGCCTCTATACTTATAGTTATATGTTCATATATATTCCAGTCACTTCCCTTTTCAATTAATTATCGTTGATAATTTTTAATTTTAAGGTTTTTTTTCTATTTTTCATTCACACTCATCATCACACTGCCTGCATCCTTGAATATTTAAGCAATGGACCACATAAATATGAGGACCACATTTACTGTTACACATATGCTCTAATTAATTATTTGCTATATGCACTGTGTCTTATTGTCCCTTTTAGATTTCTGTGATCTGACGCTGGATTCAAACACAGCACACAGGAACCTCAAACTGTCTGATGGAAACAAGGAGGTGACACATGTGGAAGAAGACCAGCTGTATCCTCATCATGATCTTAGATTTAATCACTGGCTTCAGCTGCTGTGTACCAACAGTCTGACTGGTCGCTGTTACTGGGAGGTCGAGTGGAGAGGAGAGGTTCATGTTGCAGTAACTTATGGAGGAATCAGACGGAGAGGAGAAGAGGATGAATGCAGGTTTGGAAGGACTTACCAATCCTGGAGTCTCTACTGCAGTGATGACAGGGGTTACTATGCTAGTCACAATTACATAGCAAGAGCCATCCCTCTGCTCTCCTCACCTCTCTGTCACAAAGTAGCAGTGTATGTGGACAGTTCTGCAGGAACTGTGTCCTTCTACAGCATCTCCTCTGATAAACTGATCCACCTGCACACCTTCAACACCACCTTCACTGAACCTGTATATGCTGGGTTTAGAGTGAAGCCTGACTCTAGTATCCACCTCTGTGCTGACTCAGAATAATGAACTTACTGTGCAGAGTCACATTGGTGTTTCACACTTTTTCTCACTTAAATATTATGAACCTTAAATATATCAGGTAAACTGTCTGATACGTTGTACATATATTGGCTTGGTTTGTAGCCCCGAGTTGTTGAATGAGATTCTCCTGAAAAAATCATCTTATTGTCTTTGGTGCCTATTTTTAAGAGCACTTATCAGTTTCTATTATGCGTAACAGTTTAAATAGGAAAAATCTGTTGCATTACTATTATCAACTATTATATTTGTTCCATTATACACATTTTAATAATGTTTAGACTGATGGATGAAATCCTTGGAACTGAAAATTTAGACATTTTAGATGTTGGTGAGTTAGACTTTGTGAGGAGGAGAGCTGCAGACTTTAGATTTTGTGTTTAGGATTAATTTCTTACATTGCATTACTATACATTTGTGTTTCTGTCTCTTGTTATGCAAATTAAATAACACTTAACTACAATTAATTCCTGGAAAAAGGCGATATCACCACCATGTGACCAGTTTTCATAACAATATATCCGAATGGTTCTGGATCCAAAAAAAAATGTATTAATTTGTGTTGATCTAAATGTAGCTTTAACACGAGTGCACCTTATGGAGGTTGTAACTGGAGGCCTTGGAGACATCTCTCTTCATTTCATGTTCAGTAAAAACAGTCTGACTTATAGATGACCTCCAGTCTGTGTTTCTCGACTGATCTGAGGAGCTTGGAAAGAAAAGCGTCTGGACTTCTTAAAGTTACTACGATGACTGAGAACCTTCACAGACATATTTCTCGACTGATCAGAAACTGTTTTTCAATCTCAGATTTGGTTTTTATTCTGTGTGAAAAACACAATCCTGATTTGTAACAGAAAAGGGAAGGTGAAGACAAAAGAAATAATATTTCTTTTGTCTTCACCTTGTCTTCAACAAGAAAAAAAATCCTACTCTTTACATATTATGTAAAGAGTAGGATTTTTTTCTTGTTGACGAAGGTGTTTTTACTTCTCCAGTGTATAAATGTGTGTAATTAATTTTAAACCTTTGTCAGTTTAAATATTCTCCAACTGAATTTAAAAACAGCTGTTTTTAAATAAATTTTAATAAAGGACTGTTTGTCTGGTACTATGTTGCACTGTTTATATGAAACACTAAAATGAAACTGTTTATGTGTATAAACTGTACACTGTATCCAGAGAGACAAAAACAAAAATAGAGGAAAAACAGACAGGAAGATGTTTTTAAAGCATCTTTGTAAACATTTATACAACAAGTGTATATTTTCTGTATATGAGGGGAAAAGCGAGAAGCAAAAAGACTCGTTCCAACTTTCATTCTATCAGTTTCTCCCCTCATCACATAAATACCCGAGCAGTGACAGAGACCGCGACTGCAGCATTTCTCATCAGAACACAAAATACTGAGAACCATCCACACTGTTGTGGGTCTTCAGATCTCGTCCAGCATAATTCAAAGCCTTGTTGATAACAATAATATAAATTGTGTGGTGTGAAGTTCTGGAGAGTTGCAGGGTTGTAGGTCAAAGAAATAGTAAACACATGGGGGAACACTCCCGCTTTGATCGTTTCTGCTCTTCTTCTCTTTTTTCTAAACGGAGCACCTGATGGTTCTGAACTTTTCTTGTCCATCTTTCATTGGTTTTAATTTTGCACGCCAGTGAACACCCATCCCCCAACCCGAGGATCACCACAACATAACCTAACAGACCTACACCTGAGTTCACAGATTAACTTTCTGGGATTTCACACAACCCAGGATTCAGATCATGAATACATAATGTGCTCTATTTGGAAGCAGCATGTCTCCCTCCCCTGTCGACAGGTTGTGTGTGAGACCTTAAATCATCAAACTGTAAATTATAAATTTTAAATTGTTATTGATCCCTTTACCCCGAGTCCTAAAGTGTATATTTATTTTCTTACTCTTCTTATATGTATTGTTTGTTTACTTGCACTGCTGTAACTGGAGCCTCGTCATTTCGTCTCTCTACATACTGGACTGTATGTAGCGGAGATGACAATAAAGTTTACTTTGACTTCTGCAGCGAGCAGGCGCACTGAGGGCTCTCGCGCTCACTTTATAGAATTTGAAAAAACATCGGTGCAAATTATAAGTCTGTATCATGATGTCTGGTGTTTTCGTGTTTGTTGGTTTGTTTTTATTTTGTTTTATTTTGCGGGTTAGTTATTAGATGCTGCTCCAGCCAGTCAGAGAATCCCCCGCCGCCCCGCCCTCTCCTCCCTGTGCAGGTGCACCTCGCAAACGGAGGGCGCCCTTACTCCCAGCAAATGGGCGGCAGAAAACTGATCGGTGCCTATGCCATCTCCAAAATGTGCTAGCATGATGTCGGGGCAGCATGAGCGTTTTTTTTGGTTGTTTTTTGGGGGGGTTTTCTGCCGATGCCTGTGATGCCGCCTCCTACCACGATGCCGCCCGGGCAACCGCCCGTGTCGCCCGTATCAAAAACCGCTACTGCTAAGAGCTGTTTCATTCACGACCGACACATCATTAGTCACATGATGGTTTAACTTATTTAATTTCACTGAATATGTGAGACAAGCTAAAGTAGCATTATATATTTATGTATAAGACACAGTGATATAATTGGCTATATTTTAATTAGTTCTCACGATGACGCTGAGCGATCCTGTTGGTGAATGTGGAATAAATCATCTGTAAACAAAGAACTTGTCCTGGCTGACAGGAGTAACAGCTACTCTAATTAACAACAAAGAAGCACAACTATAATCGTACAGTGGGGGACTAGCTCATTGTTTCACAGTTTCAGGCTACGTCCACACTAATGCGTTTTCAAACGAAAACACATCGTTTTCTCTCCGTTTTGGCCTCCCGTCCACACTGAGACGGCGTTTTCGCTCAAGGAAAACGCAGCGTTTTGAAAATGCTCTACAAAATGCATACATTTGAAAACGGTGCTTTTGTGTTACAGTGTGGACACTGATGCATGTATGTGATGCATTAATGATATATTTATATGTGGCAGCAACAACTCCACCTCATTGTTAGTCCATTTAAAAAAACTCGGTGCTTTTCAAAGAGACGTTTCAAAGAGCCGGAAAGTAAATAAGCAGCAGACAGAAATGAGGCAGGCCGAATAGTCTTGCGTTTCACGCATGCGCAGTACTGGAACGTAAGTGTTTTCGGATGTTTCAATGAACAAACAACTCCGTGAAAACGACTGAAAACGCTAGTGTGGACACGGAGCGTTTTCAGACGAAAACGCCATTTTCAGACGAAAACGCCATTTTCTAGTGTGGACGTAGCCTCAGTCTGGAAAAGAAGTGTTTCTCAATCCCACAAGCAGCACTGTGAGCCTGTCTGCTGCGAGCAGCCGACTGGGCGACCTGTGTCTGTCAGACGCGACACAAAGCCCCATCACAGCTTTCAACTCTGCACTCGACAGTTTCATCGTTTCATATACTGATGTAATCACAGCGATTTTAGCAAAGATTATTTAGTTTTGTGACATAAGAGAAAGAGGAATTTGGTGACCTTGGTCCATGAGAAGTCCATAACAAATATGCTGGATATGGATGACTCTGTAAGAGTTTTTTGGAAAGGTGAACAGGAGACTGTTGTTGTAGAGTGGACTGAGGAGACAGGAGAGTGGAGCTGTTTAGTTGCAAACAGACTTCAGTTCCTTGCAAAACAAATGAGCTTAAAGCAAAACCTGAAACACATGGTGAATTGTTGTTGTTTTTTTTATTACTATGCCAACCCTTTTTAGTTTTGTAAATATTGGCTATATTGAGAAAACTTATTTTATTCTTACTTTGTTTTACAAATTTATTTGAGAATTAGGCCATTCAATAAAGATGGATTTTATGTTGGTGGTTGTAAAGATCTGGGTGGATAGTTTAATTTATTCTTTATTTTATTTTATTTTTTAATTCCATTTTTGAGTTTTATTTTTTAAGACTTGGTGAACTGCATTTTTTAATAACATTGCCTACCCTTTTTAGTTTTGTTAATATTGGCAATAGTAAGAAGTATTACTGTTGGGCTTGGATGTATTTAATATAGGGCATCTAATTAGTGTTTTTAGTTTAGGATCTCATCTCATCATCACACTGCCTGCATTATTGAATTTTTAAGCTACAGACCACAAAATATGAGGTCCACATTTACTGTTACACATATGCTCTAATTAATAATTTGCTAATGAGTTGTTAGAGTTAAGTGTTTATGCACTGTGTCTTATTGGCCCTTTTAGATTTCTTTGATCTGACGCTGGATCCAAACACAGCACACAAGAACCTCAAACTGACAACAACAAGGAGGTGACACATGTGGAAGAAGATCAGCTGTATCCTGATCATTATTTTAGGTTTGATCAGCCTCAGCTGCTGTGTACCAACAGTCTAAGTACTTTACTGATGAGAATCATGTCGACCTCACAGACCTCGTGTATCTGATAGGTATTAATGTTAAACATTAACTGTGTATTTGTATAATATATACTGTGTATATGATGGATTTAGCTAGTCATTATGCAGAGACATGAAAACCTGCAGATCCTGCAGAGTTTGTGGGAAATCCAATCCAGCACTGACCCTTGTATTCATGTTCAAATATCAGTAAATGTGCCATAAATGTTTCCTGTGTTTTCTGCAGTTTCTTCAGTTTAAACATTTTCTACATTATTGTTGCTCCAGCTCAGCACATAGTGAGTTTACAGCTGTTTGTATTTTATACATGTGCTTTTGAGAGTGCTTCACTGATATTTTTTTTCCTGAAAAACCTAAAAAACAATACATTTATAAGCAACAAAGTGCACAAAACGTTAGGTGTAAATGGTAAATGGCCTTCATTTGTATAGAGCTTTTCTAGTCCCTAAGGACCCCAAAGCGCTTTACACTACATTCAGTCATCCACCCATTCACACACACATTCACACACTTGTGTAGCAAACATTATAAGACAACAGATGAAAGTAACCTTATTGCTGACTTTGGCGTATTTACATTGACATATTCATTAATATTCCATTTCCATTGAAATCAAATGTGATTTTTAATTTTTCTAACTATATTAGAATATTCAGTAAGTAAACTAAATAATCTGGCAATTGACAGTTCATGTAAGAGGACAGCTAATGTTATCATGTTTTTGATGTTGTCTTGTAAATGTTTAATGGACATACAAGAGCCCACCTTTCATTTTATATTTGATTGATTTGATAACTTGCAAATGGTCAACAATCAGTGAATCATTTAAGATCAATCAACTGCACATTTTATTCAATAAGTAGCCTTTAAGCTACAGTGTATCTGGTGTACAAAGTGTACAAAGCTTGTGCTAAAACATAGTTCCATTTAGTGAGGCCAGTTGTTGTAGCAGAATCAGTTAAAGGTTTTTAGAGCACCAAAAGAAGTTTTTGGTGGTCTGTGAGCCAACAATGGTGGATTATGTGCTGATGTAGCACAGTGTCCACCTGATCCCTGGTTTCAGCATTCAGGCTTTGCAGGATTAACATCACCGAAGAACCTGAGATTAAAAACCTAAACCTGTTATGTATTTTTGTTGTTTTTTTTCCTATCAGCCTACCTTTCTGACATGTCTGCCCAATGTGATGTTTGTGTAAAGTTGGTCAGAAGGTTCCTTTGTAAGTGCGCATGCGCCATTAGCGTGCTGCCTGCTGTAACCCTAATTTCCTTCGGGATTAATAAAGTATTCTGATTCTGATTCTGAATGTTGACAAAACAAAAGAGATGATTGTTGATCACTGCCCACTTAACATCAGTAGATCCTCTGTGGAGGTTGTCAAGAGCACCAGATTCCTTGGTCTCTACCTGGTGGAGAACCTCTCCTGGTCCCTCAACACCAGCTCCATAACCAACAAGCCCAGCAG